ATACAGTTCAATTCTGAGCTTAGGAATAATTATTCCCACATTACAATTAGCGCTCGCTACGACTTAAGCACAATCACCCCCTTTTTACAAACTAATAATAATAAACGGGAAAAAAAAAAAAAAACAAAATTATCCATTGGACGAAACTCACTCCGTCAGAGCACACTCGTGTATTTATTTATTTTTTTTTTATTTGTTATTATTTAGAGTCGGTTTTAACTGCTGTGGTCATATCGCTGGCTTTAACTGTTGGGAGTGGTAGGTTGGGGTTTATTTTATTTGTTTACTCGATTAAAAATAATAATCTATAGAGTTTATTCTCAGCAAGAGTCGGCTCAGATTAAAATCTCGCCAAAAATGTTTTAAATTTTTATTTAAACCTCGCTACCGAACAATTATCACCAGTTTATTTATTTTTATTGAGCTTGAACTTTATTTTATTTTTCAACAGTATTTAAACTCAATAATTCCTCAAGTCGATTATTTTTTAATTATTTGAGCAACACCCAGTCCTCGATCAACATTTTATTTAAACAAATTAATAAATAGTAAATAATTAACCGCTGGTTGGCTGCAAATGAGACGAAATTTAGGACAACTCTCGAGTCTAATCGATCACTAGTCAACCCATATTCTTTTATTATTCGATTCATTTAAATTTAACGCCTACGTTTTATGTATGACCGCGAGCCAAATATTTTACCATATTACACATTCAGTGATTATAAATTTGTTATCAATAAATTTATGAAATTTGCATCTAGAATTATTGAACATTCAAAAATATTTACTCACTATCACTATTTGAATCCTGACTTGCACTTTTTGTTTCAAAATTGGTGCAAATAATTTCACATGCAAGTTTAATAACCTTTTAACTAATTTAAGGATGCAATGTATTGATTACTGATAATCTCAATAAATTTAACAGTGAAATTGCAACCTACGCAAAATTACTAATTCATTATTGTTTCTGAAAAAGCGGGGACAAATTGCAATGTAATCAAGAAGATAATAATAATAATTATTATTATTATTTTATATGCAAAGCTTGAGGGATGATCACGAATATTAATGACAATAATGACGCATGAGATTGTATCAGTATGTGCTATGCTGTAACAAAGTAGTTAATGATATTATATACATTATCTATATGTACTCGTCCTTTGAGTAAGGACAAGCTCAACAGCATTAAAACTTAATCTATCCGATGGGATACAAATTGGACGACAACCCTTTAACAGACGAACGGAATCGAATTTGGTTGAAATTACATCTTCCATGTTCTGTTCTTAAGTAATAGAGTCTTATCAGCCAGTGTTTCAAGGAGGATGTATGTTAGCTGACATATTCTGAAAGGATTTACAATTATAACACTATAAGTATCTAAACTTATCAACTGGCTCTTTAGTTTGTAATTAATGTTTCCGAGAGGTTAACTAATCTCGTCGGGAAAAGGTATAGTAGAATGAGGGTGAGGATTTTTAAGTTTCTTCTTGATTGATTTATTCTTAAAGTTTTTAAAAAGTTTCTTCAGCAGGAATTTATATCATTGACATTATTGAAAATTTAACAAAATTAAGACACGTTGACATTAATGTTCTATGTAGAGATTCGACGGATTTTTTATAAACTGATTAAAAAGTTAACTTGATTCAAGAAAATGACTCTTAAGCCGAGAAAAAAGTGTTGAAGAATTTTGTTTTAAATTATGCAAAAAATTTATTCTACTAAAACAATTTTATTCGAGTAAATTTTGCTTAGTTCAAAAATATTATCCTTGATTTAAGAAAATTCAATTAAGAATTTTTTCTATTATGAGATTTTAATAAGGATAAAAAGCAAACAATTTTGAAAAAATAGATACTTTGTTTGAACAAAGCAATATATCATACTCATTGAATTGTATTTGAAAAAGAGTGGGTTGTTATCGAAATATCGTGAATAAATATTGAGTATAAGAAGGATCAAAAATTGATGATAGGTATTGAATTGACATTACTGATCAAAAGATACACATATATCAAACAAGTTTTGTTGTGTGTTACTGATAAATGTGTTTTTCCACGAAGATAATTTCCCGTAAGAATTTACAAGCTAACTGCTGACGAAAGCAGTATTAAAATTGCAGTCCTGCTCGAGGAAGCTGGAGCATACTGAGTTTCCAGTAGAACTTACAGCTCTGGACTAATAGTTTCGGTCCTTCGGGTAATTGATATCGAGTGTCTTGTTAGGAATGTCAATTAGGCTGTTATTGATTTTACGGGGTTATTATTTTTGTTATGATAGCTTTGAGATGTAGAAATTATTTTATTGAGATTCCGATAACGAGCTTAGTAGAGATCAATGTCACGACAAGTATTTCCGTAGAATATTGTAAAATTACAATAAAAGTCTTGTGAAAATATTCCAAAAAACCTGATGCTCTTCTCTCGGACTCTTTTATATTGTACATCCTTGAATTTTGTGATGCGGTCAAAAAATATCACAATTCGATTGTTTGAAATTTCGAAAAATACCCTTTATCGATAGCAGTGAAAAGTTTTCTTAATTAGGAAAATAAATTTAAATTGCCGAGTTATTTGTTTATAAATTGGCTGTTTTTAAAATATAAATAAACAGTTGGTTCGCAAGGCAAAAAATTATAATTAAAGAGACCATTATCAGTATTAATTGACTTGAGAATTAATAGTACAGATGAAATTAATTAAACTTATAATAGAGTATAGATGAAACTAAATTAGCAAAACTCTGTTCCTTTTAATTAGTTTTGTTTGTATAGTTAAAATATTTTTAATTTCTTATTCAATTTTATTATCAACTCTCTCTCTCTCTCTCTTTTATTGATTACAAATGATTGTTTTGAAATTGAATCATGCATGAATAAATAGATTCCATAAGTGTGATCAAAATTATATTTCAAAGCACAGCGTTGATTAAAACCTAGCCATGTTACATCGAAAAACGCATGATTAATTCATGATATTATCAGTATGGAATATGATAAAGTGATTATCAAGTTTTATTTGCACATAAATAGAAAAATTTGATTGCATTTTCAATTTTGAGGAAATAATTTTCTATTTAAATCTCAATAACCGAAAAATTGTATATTTACTTCCATAATTTTTTATTGAAATTTAAATTTTGTATAAACTAAAGTTAATTGCGTTTTTCTGCAAATTAAATTAAAAGTTTGACGGTAGAGATTGCAGAGTTATTAGGATACAGTTATGGCATTAAAAACTTTCGAAATAAAATAGATTGATCTGCATAATTAATTTTGGGGTGTAGTGTAGTGGGAATTATACCATCAAACTTTAATTACTTTCGCTTATTGTGACAGAATAATTATAATCATGTTTTTATTATTATTAAATAAAAATTAGAAAATTTTTCTAATATCAACAGGTACGTTTAATCTCACACTTTATAATTTTAATCAAACGTCAAAGTCAACATTTTTGTGGATACAAAAGAACTTATTATAAATTGTCTTTAGAAAATTTAATTAAATTTCATACTTCATAAATGCAGTACTACTCTCATGTATAAAGTATTTTTTTAGTGGCTTGACGTTTTGCATGAGGGCGTTTGATAATGGATCTAAGTGACAAGAAAAATTTCTCTGTGTTTTTTTTTTTCTATTTACTAAACAGTTTGTAAGCTCTTTTCAAGTGTATAAACTTTAATCTAGATTTTACGAAATTGATATTTCAAAGAACTTTTAGTTTATCTTAATTGAAGTTTAAGCTAACAAATTTAATTATAAGGTCATTGAATTTTAGTATGCTATCTATATTGACATAAAGATTAGTGGAGTTCAAGTTTACTTAGTTCTTAGTAAATCTTGTACCAAAAACTGAAAGTTACTGTATTCTCTTTGCAGAATATCTATATGAAAACAATGCAAGGTTTAATAATCTAAGCTCAGTCCTGTTTGGTACTTAGTTAACTTGAATGGGGCCATTAAATCGTGATAGAAACGCTGAACCGACGGTTTTCAAAGCAGAGATTATAGGAAAATTAATTTGAAATTTAAATTGTAAAGGATAAAAGATAAGTGGTAAGAAAAAATTATAAAAATGTTATTATTATCTTTATGATTAAGATAATATACCTAATTAATATCAATCATTTGAGTCATTGATGCTCCTTAGAGTCTATTTTTACTATATAAATAAAATCCATTATTTTCTATATCCCTATCTCTAGCACATGAGAACATATTGCTTCACTAGCAAATATTTGCGTTGCCGATTTGAAAGTCAAAATATAAATTTCTAGTTGAAAAAAAAAAAAAAAAAAAAACAAATGACCTTTTGGTTAAATAAATATTTGATGAATTACTTCGATAAAACGGAATATAACGAATAGAATAAAGTCATTTTCTGAAGGCATTGAAACTTGTAGTAAACAAATACCGTAAAAGTTGATGAGAACTACCCTTCAGCAAACTTTTGTGGAGTTATATAAATCCTTTGTGCAACTACTCGCGATGGATCTATTGTGACTTCTCATGAGCTTGCCAATGCGTAAACGTTTGATAGAGTCGAGTTTCAAGTCCATCCAAGTTTCCTTTCAACGACAAAATTAGTCCATTAGTCCATTTGCAAGAAGTTTGTGAAGAGCTTTTATAGGTATTAAGGGTTGCAACTTGTAAATAGCAACCACCAATTCACAAGTAGAGAAGATTAAGTAACTTTTATTTGTTAAGAGTAAACAGTGAAGAAAGTTTTAATTGAGTTACGAAGAGTGCAGAATATCATTCAGATAATTTTGACTTTATTATTTTATCGTCAGCTGAAACAAATCTTTGAAAAATTTTATTCCTTATTCAATTTTCCAACTGGTATTTCCATGCCTATAAAAATAAATAAAAAAATGTTTTCGTTTGCAGTAAAAACATGGAGGAAATTCTATCTGCAAGCAAAACGCATCAAGTAACATCAACATCAACAACAATATCAAAAATATAAAAAAGTACGAGACTCAATATGGCCTTCGAATTCAATGCAGCCACGGGTAACACGAGTTTTCCTTTGATCAATCACGGACTCAATGAATTATCAGATGCTGTCTCCAACGATTCAATATTCAAAGACTTTTACCTAAAAAACGGATCTGGGTATGACAGTTTTACCTGCGAGCCGTTCTTGACGTCAGGCAGCGTTCTCCAGGCAGAATGGTTCAAAAATACCGCGTACTTCCTCTACGGAATTGTCTTCGTAGTCGCTTTGGTGGGAAATGCCTTGGTGTGTTACGTCGTCTGGAGCATTCCTCGAATGAGAACGGTCACCAATTACTTTATTGTCAATTTGGCGGTCAGTGATATCCTGATGACGTTGTTTTGCGTACCCACTAGCTTCTTGAGCACCCTAATTCTTCAATATTGGCCATTTGGCGCGGAACTGTGTCCAAGTGTCAATTACGCTCAGGTAAGAATCCTTTTTTTATTTCAGTTTTTTATGATGAATCCAATCATTTTGGTGACAATGATAAGTTAGATTCAATAAATAGAAAAACACGTTTTTTTTTTTTTTTGGGAATCGTGAATTTATACGAACCAATGATGCGATAATTCCGTGTCAATAAAGTGTCAGATTTATAGTGACATAAATGTTTTTATGACAATGCTAGTAAACATTCAATAAAGATTTCACTTTACACGGTTGATATTCACATAAACTTCGAGTGACAAAAAAGGTGCAGAACCTTCAATAAAAATTTTTTTGCACACTGAATTGAAAACTGCGGTACAATTATTTACATTACGCATACTGTTATAAATGGAGATAAAATAAAATTTAAAAGTTAAAATTCACAAAAATTTCATGAAAATATCCAGTATCATGTTATAACTTATAAACTATTTAATAAAATGTAAACAAATAATGTTAACAAAACTTTAAATGCACCATAATTATAAGCCAAGAGTAATGAGAGTAAAATTTAACCACCAGGCAGCATCAGTGTTGGTCAGCGCTTATACCCTTATCGCTATCAGCATAGACCGTTACATGGCGATAATGTGGCCCCTTAAAGTCCGGATGAGTAAAAGTCAGGCGAAGCTATCGATTCTTGCGGTCTGGGTGGCGGCGTTGACGATTTCATCACCGATCGCGATGGTATCCTGCCTATTTCAACCCAATCCAAGGTACACCATGTGCAATCGATACGTTTGTCAGGAAATATGGCCGTCGGATCACCAGCAGTAAGTTCTTATTTCAACCTTCACATTTCCCGTTAAAAAAATTTTATACGTGTACTTAGATCAATTCGAATTTTACTAAAGTTATTTTTTTAAAAAGGAGTAAATAAAATAATTTTTATTTTCTTAACATGCAGTCCATGTCAGAAAATTTTCTTACAGGTTACTATTTTAATGTAACCTGTTATTTATTTGCTCCTCAATACAAGTAATATAAGCAATCGGTTGCAGCTTGAACTGAAATTGCAATCAAACTTGTCCTTCCAAATAAAAAGCAAGTCATGCATGAAAGCGAACGGAGACTCAATCGTAATTTGACATAATTCCACAGGTATTACTACTCAATCGCACTGCTGATTTTGCAATATCTTGTCCCGTTGGTCGTTTTGATGTTCACTTACACGAGCATTGGAATCAGAGTATGGGGCAAAAGGCCGCCAGGTGAGGCCGAAAACGCCAGAGATCAAAGGATGGCCAGGTCCAAACGCAAGGTCATTTTTGTACTTTATTTGTTTATTATTCGTTTGTAGTTTATGGCTTGTTTAGGGTCAATATCATCATGAGGGTTGATTATGGGTCGGAGCGAGGAACTTCGAGATAAATAATGACTTTTTATGCATGGGTTAGATGAATCATGGAGTTTATTTTTATACAGACAGTTGGGTAGTCAATTGGGGCAGAATTTCCGTTTTTAACAAATTGGGTGTCCAAGTTGTTTATTGACATTGTTTATTTTTAATAGGTTATAGATATTATTGTTCGTATAATATATTATGTGAGGATCGGTGAAAAATTAATAATTACACGGAAAAGAGAAAAATTATCTTGATATTTTTCAAAAGTCGGTAATTCATAAATAAAATATTTGAAAAATAATCAAGTTTTTTTTTTTATTTCAGATAAATTTTATTTAAATAATTTTTCATTGTAAGTTATGAATAGGTTCATTTCATAAAATTAATGACGAAGTTTCAAGTTGCAAAAAGTTTTTTCCTAGATTAAATATTTAATAATTTTATTTCACTTGAGTTATTCTATAGAAAGATAAATTTACTTTTAAACTTAAATTATCTTTGAAAGAATTCATTGAAACAAAATGATTAATTTTATCTGCTGAAAATATTATTATTACTCTGTCACATCAGTTGATGCATGATCTAATTGAGATAAAATGTTTGATTTTTAGTAGAATTCATAGACACTAAAAAAATTGCATCAATATTTTTAACTTCTCGCTAAGAAAAATTGAAAATTTTTGACAATTCAGGAAGTTATTTCTAAAATATTTTTCAATATATTTTCTTTCGAAAGGTGAAAAAAAAAATATTCAAAATTTTGTAAGTGCCAAAATAGAATAACCCCCCCCCCCAAAAAAAAAAACAAAATAATCCTTCTCAAAATTTAATTCAATATTCCAATTCAAATTTTTGGAAAAATATAATTAATGTTCTCAAACCCGAAAAAAATTATTTGATGCCGATTTCTTACAATGCAGATTAATAAAAAATAATTTGTTCCGTTAAGAAAAATCTTTAACCAAAAAACCAAGTTTCGAAGAAAATCATTATTTTAAATTAAGCAAGTAAATAAGCTAAGTAAATTTTCTTTTTTGGTATAGAAAATAGGAACCTTACAGTATCTAAGAATTTAAAAATTTGTATGACGTCTTTAAGAATGACGTAACTATTATTAGACATTTCAAATGAAAGTGTCAGTCGAATGTGTCATTTTAGAAGAAACGTAACTCAATAAATTTAGAATATAAGAACTGTATTTTTAGTTTATTTTTATTTGAATAACTTCAAAAATAAAATGAAACTCATTTGTACACAACGTGGTTAGTATTAGTCACTGTTCTATGGCGCCATTAATTTGTAATCCATATGGTTTCTGTGCCGAGGTTATCAAACAGTAGTTACCACGCCTGGAATGAAAAATCCGGTTATTAATAAAATATATAAATTTAAATATATAAAAGAGTAATTTATATTATTCACGCTTCACGTGGTGTTGCATAACCCATCGGAATGATTTGCAAGTCTGTGGGTGAGGACTTGCCATTGGATGAACACCTGACAGCGAGAAAAGCTTTCTCCGATAGAAGGGACTCCGCATAGAAAATCCATGAGCGATGATGACTGCAGAAATCTAAAACATATATATCCAAATATAAATCTAGGGCATTTATTGTAGAGCTTGAATCAGTAAAAATTCACAAATAAGAGAGGATTGAAAGAAAAAAATTAATGAACGAAAAAAAATGGTTAAAAAGAATCGCTTGAAAGAAGACAGAAGCGAAATAAAAAGCTAGCTAGCGTTTTATAGCAACTTCAAAGTGCTCAGTTCAAGAAATGTTGAATGTTAGATGGTGATGGAAGTTGCGGCAAAATTAATTTGCAAGTAAAAAAAAATTTCTGGTTGCCTATTACCGTCTTCGCTATAAATTGCTGCAGATTTAGGGCACCCTGGTTGGGTTCTGATTCCGCGGTTTGGCCAAAAGTCAACGTGACCAGAGCCAAGGGTTTTTCCGTAGAGACCTGCGTCTGTGTGGATTATATCGACGAATTCTGCGTCTGAACTTGATAGAGGATTTCGAAGGAGATTAAATAGAGGACCGGCTGGATCTAAACCTTTATTAAAAATTCATTAAAATTTTTTATTATTATTATTATTTATTCGCTATAAAAAAAAAAAAAACTAACCAGTAATTCTTGGCAATAAAGGATTGATTATTCTTCCGGCGGCACCAGCAACATGAGAACCCATCGAATGCGCAACAATGTGAATTCTTCGAGTTATAGAATGATCCGCACAAGACATCTTACTAATTGCACGGGCTAAATATCTACCGACAGCTTCGATACTCTCAACAACTCTCAAGTAACTTTCCTTAGCAATCAGACTCCAATCGAATGCCATGACAATGTGATCCCCTCGGGTCATGTATGCTTTGGGCAAACAATATTTTTTTTTAATTCAACTTGAAATCGAGTAAACATATGTACAAAAGAAAACAATACGACTATTATTGAAAATAAAATAAATATTTGATCCAACTCCAATCACTTTACCATCAACTATTGTTTTTACGCTGAAACTGTTGATACTTTCGGTGTACCCGTGGATGTAAATAGTTATATTTCTATGGTCATTGATTTGAGAAAGTAAGTTCTTTGAATTGGTCAGATTTTCATCAATGTACTGGCTTGTATCGTTCCTGAAAAATTTTTTTCTTAATTAAAATTTAACAATTAATAACAAAATTAAATATAATTCGATGAATTTTAAAATAAATTGAGTGACGTCTATAGTTCGGGAACTTTTTTTTTTTTCTGACGAAGAAAATGACCTAAAAATCCTTCTTAAAAATTAATCAAGATAATCTCGTTTTTATTTTTTTTTTTTTACTGTTACCGGAAATATTATCAATGTTGGATGTCGATTTATTTTTAATTCTCTAAGCTGAAGATTAAATAAAGTTTCACATTTTATATTTTTAAAATTCGAGCTTATACTACTTGATTTTGAGTTGAGTTGAAACAGTGAATTTAATGCACCTACTAACCGAGTTTGTAAGGGTAATTACTATTTTTAGATGTAATTCCGAGTAAAATAGAGTTATAATAATGAATATTTAAAAAATTCAATGTTTGAGTGGACTTTAATCTTTTTTTTTTTTTATTTTAATATCCAAATTACAATTTTTTTTTTTTTTTTAATGCGATGTAAATATTTTTAACACTTTTTCAAACAAAAAAAAAATTTATTTTTAAAATCGCAAACTTTGAATTCTTAATTTTTAACTTTATTTCGTAGTTGAATTTTTTTGCTCGGAAAATTTTAGCAATCATTTTAAAAGTTAATAAAAATAATTTAAGCAATAAAAAACTGAAAAAAGTACATTTAATATTTTTTACTTTTATAGTAAAAAAAAAAAAGTTTAATAACTAAAACAATTTCTACTAAAATGAACACACAATATTTTAAAAAATTAAGGTGTAATTAATAGTCATTGTTTACAATTTTCTCTCGCGGAATTTTTTTAATAAAATTTTTTCGATATAATTTAATTTATAAACAATGTACTTGAATTTAATTATCTAAAATAAATTCAATAAAATTGATGAAATTAATTAATGTTTACCCTGTATACAAGCGTAAAAAAGTAGAGTCCAACATTTCCTGCGTCACAGCATCGGCTAAAAAATAAAAAAAATTCCACAAATAAAAAAAAAAATCAAACCTCACCGCTAAAAAACTTACCGCCCTTAAAAATATAAACAAGTAATACTAAAAAACAAAAGTACGAAAAACTACGACAATTAGCCATTTTGATGCACCGTAAGTAAAATCTCAGCGTTCTAAACATAAATAGTGTCCACATGGTACATATAATTGCTCTACTAGCACAGTGGTCAGCTACACAGCGGTGTGAGTCTTATCAGAACATTTAAATTATTCAGATCAGCGGACAATTATTTACGGTCGTGTTATTTAACTAACCGGCTTATCTAACTGACTACCCATAAAACAATTTTATATCGCGAAAAAACAAAGTGACGGTGCGCGAAAAAGAATCCTACTAGAATATACTTGTTGGATATTATTTTTTATGTTTTTCACAAGGTAATCACTTTTTATTTATTGCTGGTTGTTAATTATTTATAGCTTGTACAGTTTTTATCGTCTGTTATAATTTGTGTAATTAATGTGTATCTAACTCGGTCTACCGTAGCAATCATACACTTTAATTTATTTCGTTTCCTCCCTTCCCCTTGTACTTGTACTTACACTAATCCTAATTCTTATAATAGAGCTGGCTGGCTCTTTATAATATTAATATGAGTATTAGTACTTGATATTCCGACGGCGTACGCACAACTTGTTAGGGTAAGTCAGCCCTATTTACTATTTATCCAGGAAGACAAAATTTACTGCTTAGTCTCAGTCCTAAACTTCATTTTTCTGCTTTGTATTTTACATTTTTTGTAGACTTTAAATAATATCACCATTTAGTTTATTTTTTCGTGATTTAAGGTTCCAAGAGCCCCCTTGACTTAATTTAAGGGCTCAGAGGATTAAAAAAAATTTTAATAGTAATATAACGTGTTGAGATTTTTATAATCCAGAGGTTAAATCTCCGGGTTTAGCATAAAGATGCTTATTTATGCCTACTAAATATTCTCGTAATTTTTTTTTCGAGTTTTTGTCGATTAAGGTTTTATAAATCAATTTCGCTTTTTTTTTTTATAATAATAACTCAGGGTTTAGAATATTTATTGAAATAATTTTAGGGTACAAGCGGTAAGATATGAGGAAGCGATAATTTTTTATTAAAAAAAAAATTCCTTATTCAATTAAATTCATTGAAATTTATAGAATAAAAGTTTGGTAAATTCAAATGTGCATGCTTTAAACACTCGTGTCATATGTAAATTGATCAAAGTAAAGTTTTAGTATAGTAGAACAAGTTTTCACTAATAACTTTAATACTGTTTTCAATTTTTTAATATTTTTATTATTTTCCCAATATTTTAAATTTAAGGTATGCAATTTATTAAAATATTTATTCGAATATGTTGGACCGTTTTATTACAAAAGAATATTAACAAATTTTTTGTTACCGCATTATGTATTGAATTTTTTTCGATGCATAAAATAGATTTAAGTAGAATAAAAAATTAAAAAAATTGCTGAATAAAATATAAAATGTTTTACAATTTTTTAACTTAAGATAAAAATAATTTCCACGGATAGAAATTTTAAAAAATAATTTTTTATTTTTTATCCCTTGTATTCAGTTGGATAAAAAAAAAAAATAGAAAAATTATAGATTAAAAATTTTAGTTAATATTTAAAACAGTTAATTCAAATCATCAAAAATAATAACTCACAATAAAAATCAATGAAAACCTCTCTATTTTATTTCTGAAGCGTAAATTCATACTCATTCACTTGCACATCTTTACAGTACAGCGACTATTACATTAATTCATTACATGACACAAAAAATGTTATCAAAATGAATACATATATGGAAGCTCTAAAAGAAAGGACTGTTGAAAAGAATTCTGAAATTAAAAATATTAGTATTTAATAGAGCGTGTAGCTCGACATGAGTAAATTAAATTGCGTACTCTATAGAGTTTAGGGTAAAGCCACCGTGTAATCGTGTGGGTCTGGGTTCGATTCCCAGCCGGGTACTCTCGGTGCTATTCAGCGGGATTACTTACTCCAATTTATTAATGAATTCCCCCTGAATAATCCACCAAGGCAAGCAAATGGAGCAAAAAATACAAACTTACTTCTTTTGTTCATTTAAAGCCATTTTAATAAATTAAAACATAAAATTGTTTATGCATGCATTTGCAAACTATTAAATAAAAAAACTTTCGTCCATCACTCAAAGAGTATCGTAAGAAGATAAATTAGCCTCTAGAAGTTTTTAATGTTCTATACTTTTATTGGAAAATTTTAAAGAAGATCAAATGTTACTTATAACGCAAGTACGCTTGAGATACGTGAAAAAAATTTACAAAGTTTTCTCATTAGAAACTTCTGAGTTGTGACTAATTAGCAATTAGTGAGCTACCGGTACATGAATTATTTTTAATTTTTTCTTAATTAATGTTTAAGTTATTTTCTTCTAAATTAAGGCAAGAGATTTTTTATTTTGAATATTTTTTATTCGCCTTAAAAAATTATAAAAGTGGAAAAAATTTAGAAAAATTATAACATAATTTAATGTACAAAACTTATAAATTCTATCTTAATTATTAAAAGAGGAATTTATGCAGCTATTTTCCTCCTATTGTCCTGTTGAGATTATTTTTTTGACCTTTTTATTTTATTTTATTTTATATGCCGGAGAGTATCAAAAAAATTCCATGAAAGGTAACAAAAAGATTCGGATTTTTTTTTTTTTTTTGCTATAAAAACAAATACTTCACTTGAGTGGAGCGTGAAATGTAATTTTGATTAGATGGAAGATCAACTAAGCTCTTAAGTCTTTATATGTGGATAGTATACAAAAAGAAAAAAAATAAAATATATTGGATATTTGAGTGAACTTTGCATCCGTTTTCCCAAGAATATATTATCATATGTGAGATTATGAGATTCTTCGTCATGTTGTGCAGCCTCGAGCTAAAACAAAACGAAATCAGCACAATATAGCCAGAAAGAATAACATGGTGCTATTTTTATTTTTTTTTTCTTTTTGAGAAAAGAAAATTATTGTTGATCGTTATTCTTCATGTACAGAATTACATTTCAGTAACAAAGTTTCAAAAATCCATTTTTCCGTCTGAACTAGTCTCTTAAATAAAAATTATAAAAATTCATCTTCATTTTTTACTGATGAAAGTTCTTCAGCTAAACCAGTTGTACGTTACCGTATCTAGAGATTATATTTATCACACAATAACTTTTACTTAGGATATGAATTTATATTTGTTGTTTTTAAATTTTAGCTATGATGGCAATTTTTTATCCATTCGTTTGATATTCTGTTAAAGTTGTCAGAATTAATCACAGCAGCAATAAAAGTGACTTTTACGGTGTTGATAACGTTTTTTCATGTAGTAATTATGCTAATTTTTGTGAATAATCAAATTTTTAAGGCACTAAACTGATAAAGTAAATAAAATTTTATTTATTACGGGAATTTTTAGCAGCATAAGCAGTGTCTCTTTAGAGACAATCCAAAATTCTAGCTAAAATATAAAAATAATGCTGGGTTTTTTGAAAGGTATAGACTATAAATTGTTATCTTAATCTTATTAGCCTTGTTTACAATTTTCGATATGTTGAAGAGTTGTTTAGAACTATCAATGATTTATATTAATAATTTGTGGCTAGCAAACACTTACTTGTAATGACCAATTGTTAGTAGTCAATATTCTGTTTTTATATGGAAATTCAGAATTAAATTTTTCAATTAAAGTAACTACAAAGTAGTTGGCGGTAAATTCATTCAAAATAGATCGAAGCGGTTTGTATCAGGTGCCGTACAGCCGCAGGAAGCAATAAATCTCTTAGGGTGATCATTTCGCGTCGATGATACTGATGTAGTCGTTTAACACAAAATGTTTTATGTTAAATAGGAATTTAAAATCCGTGAAAAAAATTTTTATGGATATCTATATCAAATTTTTATAATAAAAAAAATTTTTTTAATTAAACGAAAATTTGTCTTAAAATTTTTCTCGATTAATAGTTTACTTTATTTGGAAATTTTTTAATTTTGATTCACGATTTAAAAAAATTTTGTTTTTTATTTATTCAAAAAACTTACGTAAATTCTCAAATTTTTAATAAAAAAAAATGTTTTTTTGTCATTAAATCTAAATTATATTCCGAAAATGTTACCCTATAACAGTCTTACCCTTTTGAAAGATGTCTCATGATTATGAAAGAGGAAAATTTATGTACTTAATAAATTTACTGTCAGAAAAACCTTTAAAAACCCGACACGACAAATATTTGAATTAATTAAATTTCAGCTGATACAAATAATAAATAACAAATTAAATGTTTAAATTTCTTAGCAATAAATTTAGAGTGGATGGCAATAAACAATCTGGAATCTAAACATCAGTCAACACAGATTTAAGCCACGTCTCGTGATTTATTTTCCCTAGCACATTCTATTGAGAAAATAACCACGTACTCTGAAATGATAAATTTACAGATAGAAGAAACTTAAACGCAGTAGAAATACACAGTCGAAATTCATTTACGCCGAAATTGAAAAAGTAAAAGCAAGTGAATAAACAAAATAAAACAGTGACTGATAAAAATAGGCATGAGAAGCTTACGAAATAGAGTGCTCTTCTCCGGTTATACTACACTTTACTGTACTATATTATGCAGTTGAATATGTATATGTATTCATATATTGTGAGGCAAAAGAATCAAGTGAGCGTGTCCAATAGATTTAAATAGAAAAAAAAAAATTACCTTGACAGAAACAAAAAAAAGCAATGAAAATTTTTAATTCCTTCCACCAGATTAAATTTGGTGCATTTTATTTCAATTCTGGCTTCTTTTTTCGCGAAAAAAAAATAAATATTCAAACAAATTATTTCCCGTGGATATTTCCTAACAAGTGGTAAATTGGAGGAATAGATGCAGATAAAAAAAACCTTGTAAATTGCCAGGGTGAGAATTAATAGAGGTAGTTGTCTGATAAAGTTCGATCGAGTTTGTAATTTTGAACGCCCAGGAGTACCTACAGATTAAGTGATGAGAGATTGAATAGAAAGGCAATTAGTATGCGGAAATGTTCAAGTGTCGTATTGGCGAGTCCTTTTAATTAGTACCAATCGACGTATAATACTCGTCTTGAGAACAACTTTACAATCAGGTATCAAGTTCTTGACATTTAAACTTAGTCAGTGAAATTTATAGTCGATTCATAGTTCAGTCGTTTGGATAATTGATATCGAGTGTCCTATTGAGAATGTCGACTTAGATATTGGTTCGACAAGAGTGATGTTTGGGACAGCAAGAAATTTGAAGAAACAGACACTTTGTTTGAACAAAACGATATGACTTACTCATTAGATTTTATTGGAAAAAGAGTGGATTGTTCTCGAAATATCGCCAATAAATATTGAGTATAAAAAGGATCGGATGAGCCAAAAATTGATGATAGGTATTGAATAGATATTTCTGATCAAAAGATACACATATATCAAACAAGCTTTGTTGTGTGCTACTGATAAATGTGTTTTTCCATGGAGATAACTTTCTGTAAGAATTTACAAGTTAACTGCTGACGAAAGCAGTATTAAAATTGCAGTCCTGCTCGAGGAAGCTGGAGAAAACTGGTTACCTGGAGCATACTGAGTTTCCAGTAGAACTTACAGCTCTCGATTAATAGTTTCGGTCCTTCGGGTAATTGATATCGAGTGTCTTGTTAGGAATGTCTTGTTATGATGTAGAAATTATTTTATTGAGATTCCGATAACGAGCTTAGTAGAGATCAATGTTACGACAAGTATTTCCGTAGAATATTGTAAAATTACAATAAAAGTCTTGTGAAAATATTCCAAAAAACCTGATGCTCTTCTCTCGGACTCTTTTATATTGTATATCCTTGAATTTTGTGATGCGGTCAAAAAATATCACAATTCGATTGTTTGAAATTTCGAAAAATACCCTTTATCGGTAGCAGTGAAAAGTTTTCTTAATTAGGAAAATAAATTTAAATTGCCGAGTTATTTGTTTATAAATTGGCTGTTTTTAAAATATAAATAAATAGATAGTAAAAAAAATTCGCAAAGCCAAATATTTTATTTCATTACTTGAATCTTTTCGTACAATATAAAGAGACCATTATCAGTATTAATTGACTTGAGAATTCATAGTACAGAAATTAATTAAACTTCTACTAGTTTAAATGAAACTAATTTAGCAGCACTCAGTCCGTTTTAATTAGTTTTTATGGTATGAAGCTCTTTTTTGAAATTCCTTCATATTATAAACTCTATAATTTTACCAAATACATATTACATACATTCATCTGCAAATTAATTGACGTTTAAAGTTTTCTTTAATCATGTCAAAATTTATCTAACTCATTTATTAAAGTGCGCTCTTAGTATTAAAATGCTACATTCAGATTCGTTAAATATTATTAAAGTTATAATAGAATAAATTTTATTTTGCAGGTAATCAAAATGATGATGACAGTAGTCCTGGTCTTCACAATATGCTGGTTACCTTTCAATGTTCTTATGGTAATGTTTAATTCTTTTCATAATTTAATTAAATTTATTGTAAGTTTATAAAAGTAATACGCTTATGGCTTACTAATAACTTCTTTTATTAATGCTACAATTAGAAGATGAAAAAATTTCTTTACTATTCGAAAGGCTTTAGCAATACTGATTTTTTTATTGAGATGCTGAAAGGAAGTTCTGTAAATGGAAATTAAATATTTAAGTATTGCGTAAAAGTACTCTATTGTTCGGTTTCCACAAGAAATTGATAGAAAATTCTTTTTTAAAAAGTTGGAAATATGATGACGTTAATAAAAAATTTATAGTTCGATTGAAATATTAAAGCATACCATAAAAAATTTTTTTAATGTGGCCTTAATCTGACCAATTTTTTTTTTTTGGCCTTTTATGTTCATATAAGTTATGACTTGATGTGATCAGAAAATTTTTTTCTTATAAAAATTTAAATCTAAACAAATTAAGAAACTTCACGTAATGATTTTTTTTTACATTGTATACACGGAGAGAAAAGAATCGATCTTATTATTATTCCTATGCAGAATGGTAACCATTACTATGTTACATAGTAATGGAAATTTTTGTGAGAATCCTGTGTAAGTTTGCTAAAAAAAATCTTAGAAATTGTGATAAAAATATGAACAATCATTCATACGATGCAGAATTAAATTCTGAAAATAATATTTTTGTTTATTATTTTTTTAATAAAAATTTCAATTTGTTATTAACAAAAAACATAAATAAAATAAAAAATCTCAGGTTTTCGTAAATAACTCAATAACTATAAGTGATGTCAAAAAAAATCTTGACTCCCGGGACTCTAGCTTGAAAAACAATAATTTTTATTTAATGTTGAAAATAGGGTTCCGCGCAACTGCTGTTGTATTTTAGCATCGGTGCGGCCGTGTGACAAAAGTCGCAAAGATCTTAAAAATTGAAATTTCTTTTTGGAGTTAGGATTAGCGTTACTTAATTATACTTACGGCTAATCAGTATTAACTCTATTATTGTATTAAACTATGAAATTATTTAACTTTGCAATATCGTGAAAATAATGCTTTCGAGTATATTGAGTAAATATTTAGTAAGTTTGACTTTATCACACGAAGGTTTTTTGTTCAAATTCTATTGAACTATACTAGGCATTTAAATAATTAATTTTTTAATCAAAGCATAGCTTTGTGGATTTAAATTACTCATACATTAATAAAATAAATTGATTTCCCTCTTCGCTAGCTTCAGCGCGTGGATGTCCTTTATGATTACAAAATAAAGAGGATCCTACTGAACTTCCATTATCTACTAATTTAAATAAGCATTTTATAAAATATGATCCAAAAAGCGTTCAAATATTAAAAACAAAAAAAAATAAATTTATAATTTTATATTTACGCAAATTTTTTAATTTAGTTTAGAATACAAAAAGAGAAAAAAATATTTATGGACGTTATTGTCACGAATAATTATTGATTACTCGAGAATTTATCAAATTACTGTCACCATTATGACCGCAGAGTAAATTACTAAAAAACCGCTACATTGTTCAGTGATCGATATGACCGGTAAATGTTTCTACATCGCAAAATAGATTAAATATTAAATCACAAAATTATCATTAAATATACTTACACTCTAGTTATTTAGTAGGTATAGTTCATATATTGCTAAAATATTGAGTCACTTGGTTGAAATAATAATTACAGGGCATAATTGGTCAATTTTCACATTATCGTCAAATTTCGTGTTTATAGGGTTGAAGTTTAAATTTACTTTGACGGTTAAATAATTACGAATTTGTAGTGGTCAGTTCTACAAAATAATAATTAACACCGAATATTAAATTTGAAATTTATCAACATCGCTAAACAAATTTTCGCAGAAGTTTATCCGATAACTCGAAACAATTCAGTTAACTAAAGTCAATAAATGAATGACTAATCCAATGAACCACGAGGTATCGATATAAATTTAATCAATTCTGTTTCAATGGAATAATTCAATTAAAGAGGTCATGTGGAAATTTTTCCATGGATGATAAGATTATTAGTATTATTATTTGCATACGATATTGAAACACTGCAAATTGGAAATAAAATTTTCGTAATTTAATTTATCGGGATTTTGCCTCTGACTGACTACATTGAAAATGGCATTTTTGAGATAAATCAATTGAACTATTTTATAAACTGGAAGAATGGCAAATTCTTTACAAATTGGAATGATATAAAAATTTAACTTCTTTTATTCTTATAAAATTGAATGTAGTATGTTAAAAATAAACATTAAACACTTTGCATTTATTTTATTTGTTTAAATATTGAAAAAGTGTTTTTTGATTTGAAATTGAGTTATTTTGTGCTGATTCAACCTTAAAAATATTTTATCAGTTGAAATGATAGTAAATTTATTCGAGAAGAAATTATTCACATCATAATTCAATATCAAAACAAGCTGACTCATTATAAATTGGGTATAATTGTAAATACGTCGCATAAATTAAACCAAAAGTACGAAGGAGCAATATCTATTTACGTTCAAGTTGATTATGAAAACAAAACACTTAATTTGCATAACAATATCAAAATTACAAATTTCAAATAATAAAAATAATAATCGCTGCATATAATTTCAATTATTTAATAAAAAATATTAATTTTTTGCATGAGCTTTGTCGAAGAATAAAAAACAATTTTTAAGAACTTTGTTAATGTGTCAATAAAACTTTGTTTAATTAAACTCAAAATTACACGACTTTTATTTTATACTAAAAAAAAAAAAATGTAAATAGTGTTGAATTTACAAAAGAGAACTGTTTAATTTTCAAGAATAGATCTGTAAATATTCCATGCCTCAAAGAACAGTTTTTATATCATTATAAAAAATTACATATAAATATTTACATAAAATTATTTTGGTCATATATAATTTTATAAGATAATTTTTTTTCAATGAAAAATTTTCAAATATTATACTTGAAAATTAAACATTTTGTTTTACATGCCAATTATACATTTCTTACAATGCATAATTTACATTATTTGCAAAGTAAAATTTACATTTTTTTGCAAATTAAAATTTACATTTTTAAGCTGACAATTTTTAGAACATAAAAGTTAGATTTTTAAATATGTAAATATATAATTTAAAAAAATTTTTCTGTCAATAATTTTGACATAATTTTTTTTTTGCGTTATTGCAGAATAATTGACTCTTTTAAAAATTGAAATTTCCAATTTAAAATTTGCTCTTGTAATGATTATTCTTTAATTAAAAGTTTATGAAAATAAATTTGAATAAGGAAAATATTTTGTTGCAGTTATTCATGGACCCTAACTCTGAATTCGTGGCCTGGAAAGGATTACCATACGCCTGGGCGACCCTTCACTGGCTAGCAATGTCACATTCTTGTTACAACCCTGTGATATATTGTTGGATGAATGCCAGGTTTAGATCAGGCTTCATAACAGCACTTAGTAGAATACCAGGATTACGAAGGTATTTTAATGATTCACGTATTAATACCCATCATCATAGTGATATTCCTGGTATGGCAATGACAGGTAATACTTTACTATTGGGTTTTATATTTACTAGCATCTCTGAACGTTTTTTCTATAAAATATATTGGTAGTAATTTTTTAAAAAATTATCATAGCTATTGGGTTTGTTGATGATAATTTTTAATTTCATGTTGGTTTTTTTTAAATATTTTGTCATTTGTCATTTTTACTAATTGGCCGAAATTTTGCTTATGAAAATTAAAACTCCCATTTTTTTTCAACTTTCAGGTACAACCAATTTGAAATGACAAGAAAATTATTTTTCAGGAGTCGACAGTGCAAATAATTCAGGATTGAAGCGCATAAATACATGCACGACTTACGTGAGTGTGCGAAGAAAAGGCGGATCTACTTACGGAATGCCTGCAAGAAGCGCGAGCTTCCGACACGGTGATTTAAAGCCTACGAATAATCAATCACAACGACATTTTATCAAGCTCGAGTGCCAGCAAGAAGAGTCAATTTAATTGGATTAAATTAAAAACAGCTATTAAGTTTTATAAAAGTTTTGTTCTTCAAGAAAAATTATATCTGTTAATTAATTACAAAGTTTATGGAAAGCAATTGATTTCTTTTATTTTTTAATGAGTAAACTAAGTATTTGTTAGTTTATAATTGTGGTGTGAAATAACGAAAATTTATTAAGAAACTTTACTAATACTTTAAAAAGTTTTTATGGATAACGAAGTTCTGCCAAAGGAAAAAAAATAAAAAAATTTTTTTCAAAAGATATGCAAACTCTAAATTTCGCGATTTTTCCAGTTTTTCAATTTTGTTTTTGTAATATATCTCGAACGCTAGTATAGATACAGGAATGATCTTTCGTTTGTTTGAAAGGGGACACTTGGAGCTATTGAAAAAAAAAAATTTTGGGAAAAAAGTTTTGAAAATCGTCATGACCTATATATAATTTTGAAGTAATTAAAATATTTTTTCAATTACGGAACGTTGAATATTACACCAAAATCTCAAAATATACACGATGTTATGTGATGAATGCACGGAAAACCGTCTGATCATAAGATGGCGCCAGGTCATCATAAAATGGTACCTAGTCTGCGCATGCCCACACATGCGCGCGAGAAATTCTAGTCACTAGGCGGACTTTTTTTGCATTTATTACATTTAATTAATAGAGATTGAATTGCTCATTTAATAATAATAAACAATATTGTTTGTTAACTATATATATATATATATATATTTTTTTTACCCTGTCAGTTTAAATATTTTACAATAGTTTTTGTAATTTATTCATGATACAATGTTTAAATAATATTTTTTTCCAATCACTGATACATTTATAAAATTAAGGATTTCATTTTTATTTGAAAGATTAAATGAAAACTATAAAGGTATAAATGAAAACGAATTTACCGCATAAATTATCCGTCGATTGAATAATTACAAAAATTTATGCGCCTCATATATTGTTACTCCATATATTACACAGAAATCACGCATAAAAATAAAAATTTGGCTCCAAAAATTTGTAAATAACTGTTGTAAGTAAAAATAATCATTGTTACACAGGAAACGAAAATCCGAAGTACATGTTGAAATTATGATAATTATCAATAATCAATAAACTATGTATATTTCTATAATAAGTGCTCTGTATTGATGTATATATAACATATTAAATATTATTGAAAGACATTTCGTTATTCTCATTTATTATTTTAATAAAATATTCATCACTCATATGAGTAATAATTTTATGGAAAAATTATTAATAATAATAATAAATTCTTTTTCTTTTTAATATTTAAATAATATATCTATGAATTTAAATGTATCACATTTTCACTTAAAGTAATTTCATGAGTTTTATTTACAGTTTTCTTCTTTTCTTAATTTGTTTTAAAGTCGCATAAACTACTAAGGTCATGAGCGACTACGGTAGGGGGTAAACTTTTGTGATTGGAACTCGTTTTATTTCTTGGGCTGAGCAAGATGAGGATACAAAATGTGTATTTAGCATTTACAGTTTTGTTGATAAAACCAAGGACTTTTGCAAAAGTTGTAAAGTTTCCGAGTTTCGATACACAATCAACCCTCCAGCGTTTGAATGTTTAGCTTCATCACCGTCGTTGTACTTAATCGCAAACTCCGAGGGATCTTCATCGTGATTTGTTGAAAACTTTTTGAAATCGATAATATTTCCGCCCAGAGAACGTATAATAGCGTGAGGTCCACACGTGTCCCACTTATAAGTTGAGCTTTTCGAAAGAACATACGCATCGGCTTGACCTGTCGCAACTGTCAATATTTTGTAACCAGCACCCGTAACTTCAATTAATCTGAATCCGCAATTGCTCAATTTTGATTTTATAATTGGGTCCTCGTAGCGGCTCAATACTACTATGTTGTTTTGATTTAACGAGCTTGTCAAGGAAGATTGACTCTTGCCACCGGAATAAAGTCCCCAGTAACAGTTTCCTTGCCACCTAAAATTTAATCACTTTTATTATAGATATAAAATATGTGGATTAAAAATTTAATTTTCAAAATTAAGAAGTCATAGTTTTCGGTCCAATTTTGAGAATGCGAATTTCCATCAGATTATCTTGACAATAGTATGGAAAATATCTTGATTCCGTGAACTAACAAGACTATAATAATGAAAATAGTTGCCGAAATGAGGCGAAAAAAATTTTTTGATCATAAAGCACTTTGTGATGCTTCGCATCATGAGTCGTCTCCAATTACTCATGTAAAAATTGTAAAGAACTATAAATGTAATTTTGTAAAACAAATTTTTTAAAGCTAGTTTATTTGTTAAATGAACTCGAGGAATAATAAAATATCTGCTAATTTCAGTGTTCCTTAAAATATCAATAAAATAATCACCCACCTTTTAAAATTTCTAATAGATTCAAAAATCCAACTTACCGAGAATTATCATAAGTATAAAAAGGTTGATTGACAACACCTAAGATAGGAAGACCAGTGCTCCTGACATAGGCACCAATAAGTACAGTAACACACTTTAACCCGCTCAAATGCAGGTCCGTTGCCTCATCAATAATCGTATTGGCATTAATGTAATCAGCCGTTGAATCTATTAATAAAATTATCGACCGGGTTATTCATAGACGCAGTAAATAAATTTCTCCCATATTATAATGCATGCTTATAATTTATAAATTAAAAGTATTTTTTAATCATTTTGGTCGAGATAAAAAATATTTGAACAAAAAATCAACCTCTTAATAATGAGTAATTAGGACTCACCGATAGGATCGATCCAAATTCCCAAGTCTGTTATATCAAGATCAACGTCATAATTTTCAAGATAATTATAATCAACAGCGGGGTTTATTTCAGACAATTCGATATCCCGATGGATTTCCATGGCAAGTACTCCAGCTGTCTTAACATCGTCATCCAATACTTGCGATAGCAGTTTTGTTGTTTCCTCAGACGTAGAACAGACTTTTACGATAACAGTTTTATCGAGCGTGTTACTGAATACATTTGTTTCCTCGCCTCTAACCATTTCCGTCAGCTCTGGGAACTGAAATATTAAATTATCATTTTATTTCTTTAGTCTTCATTCTTTACCACTTTTAAATACAACCTCCTTTTTTTTTTTTTTTTTTTTTTTTTTTTTTTTTTTTTCTAATAAAATAAAATAAAATGACACTGAAGTTAGCAGACGTCTAAAAATTTTTGATTTTTTTATTAAATTACAACTAAAAAGATATTTATAAAAAATTGCACTTATAGTTTTTTAAATTTTTAACATATGATATTATTTTTTTTAATTGTTTAATTGAAATTTTTTCGATAAAAAATTAATAAAAATTTTGAATTGTCAGCTATCTTCATTTTCATAAAATAAAATAAATTTAAAAATTCACCTCAATACCGATGTCATGACGAATAGTCTCCTGAATCAAAACATCCGCTAGAGTTTTAAAATCCCGAAAGAACCTCGGATTCTTTTCATCGTCATTTTTCTCCTGAATTAACAATCGAAACAATGAGTCATTTTGCCTGCAAACTCGTGCGATATTCGCCGCTTTTTCCGATGACTTCAACAGCAGGCATAATAATTTCATTCCATCTTTCATTTTGTTTTTATCAGCTTTCTTTTGAACTGGAAAAATAAATTAAATCAAGCCTCAAAAGTGACCCTGCGCAAACGTATTGATTAATTTAAGTATATTAATTTCATTGTTAAGTTTTAAATTAATAAACAAAACAAAACATTTTTTTTTTCACTTTGTATTTCACGGAACGTTGTCTAAATATTTTGTTTTATTATTGTTATTATTAATTTTTGTTTTGTTTTCAAGCGATTAATGTAATTAATGTATTAATATCACTAGTGACAATTTTATTGACATAAATTGAAGATATTTATCAGAATTATTGGAGTTAATTAATTAATAACTTACCTTCTGTTTACGAAAATATCCGAGAGTCTGAGAGATCGTTAAAAAATTTTTATGGCTCCGATTGCCGCCTAATCACTAAAATCGGAACTTTTGTTTGAAGTTTGTCGCGAAGCATTGCCAATGTTGAAAAATTCTCATACAAAATGGAGATTTTGTGATTGTTGACCGCCAGGGTGAGCTTAATTACAAGTGTCAAGTAAACAATGCAAAAATTTTGATAAATTTAAAAAATTCTAGTTTTAATTTATGAATTTTGCGAAAAAGTTCATAAAAATTTTTCTTTATTAAAAAACTTTAAAAAATTACTTGCGAGTTTTATAAATTTCTAATGTTTCACTTGCAATTTTTTTTTTTTTTATAATAATTAAATAATTAAAAATATATTTTTTATTGTTCTTTCAAAATTATAAACTTCAAATTTTTTCAAAATTTCAAATAAAAAAAATAGCGCGAAATTTGAAATAATTTTGAAAAAGAATTATGATATTAAAGTTAGCTGTCAATTAGCCATTTTTTAATTTTATTTAACAAAAAAATTTGTTCCAAAAAATTATTATTAAAAAATTGCATTTTTAATTTATTAAATTTTCTAAATGTCAATTTATTTTCTTATTTTTTTTATGCAATAATTTTTATTTATAGAAAAATTCTTAAAATTATTAAATATCTCCTAAATTGATTATCATAAAAGAATTTTATAATTTTTTAAAACTTTTGACGTTTAATTTTATTGAAAATTTTTTTTATCATAATTATTAAATATTTTTCTTCAAAAAATGTAAATAAATTTAAATTTCCCGCGAATTCTAGTGACATTTTGCGTAAGTTTTGTCATTCTGAAAAATTCGATAGAAAATTATCGATACCATCAGTCGATACTAGTGCTATCGAAACAATTATCTAGTCGATACTTGTTATATATCTCACACTCATACACACATATACAAAACAGGTGACGACTAGTGTCATTCTCTGGTAGTAATTTCATAATACGCCATTTTCTTTGTGTGCACTCAGTGATCTTTCCACGAAATAAAAAGGTGTATTACAATCGTACTATCAACAAACAATTAAGGTAACCAGTAATTACAATAATCAATAACTAAAATAAATAAATATTTTATAAAATAATAAATAATTATATTTCAATGACTCCATTAATTGTCAACGCTGTTTGAAGTTTAAGTCAACCACTTGTGTTGACAGATTTTAGAGTTTTATTGTAATATTGTTATTTTAGTTTCACGAACAATGAAATATCAATAACGTGTTACTACTATGTCACCGTCCGTGTCTTTTTTTTTAATTAGTTTTAATTTGTTCGTTGAAATTTTACAGTTTTTATAAATTAAATAGTTGCTTTGAATTTTTTAATAGACGGAAGTATTTTTCTCGTTTCTTTCTTTCTTTTCCTTTTTTTTTTTTTTTTTTTTTTTTTTTTTTTTTTTTTTTTTAGTTGAGTACTACGTCATTGTGAGGGGAGTACCACTGATGTACTTTATTGCTAGATGATTCATTAATAAATTTTGTTTTTTTTATTTTAATTTTATTTATTATTTTATTATTTTATTAATTATTAATTAAAAGTGCGCATTAAATAAATGAACTTAGAAAACTTTCTCTCGTGTCACTTTCTAAACAATAATCATTATTTTTATTGTTATTATTGTGATCAAATCATTGATAAGAATTTACTTTTTACAAGTGAATATATCTAAGTTTAATTAAAAATTGATAAAACTTTTTTTTTAAAGGGAAAGTGTGATAAAGAAGACAAATTTGACATTTAAAATTTTTCTTTTTAAATCATTGAAAAAAAAAAAATTATAGATGAAAATTTTTATGATTTGTCTAATAGTATCAAAAATTGTGACATATCTAATAATGACAGTGAAATTTCAGGTAGTTAAAATTTTTTAATTATTTTTTAGAGTAAATAATCAAAATATTTCAATTACGGATGAGCATTAATATTTGTAAACAATAAAAAAATTATTTAAAATGAAGAATTTTTTAGATGATAAATTATAGTTTGTGTGCATTTTTTAAGATATTTTTTATTTGTAAATTTACAGGAAAATTTTGAATTTTTTTCTAAATAATAATAATTTTTAATTCTATTGTTGTATAAGTAATTATTGAAATAAATCTTATATTGACAATGAGTCACAATCCTATTTAGGATTATTACAAAAATAAACATGTTGACAAAGAATTTTATTTCAATTGAATTTCTTTGTCAACCTAGTTAATTAATTATAACTTTAGTCAGCAAAAGACCTTCAATAATTAAAACTCGAGTTTGTTTAAGCAAAATACAGTTAACTGTATAATTTATAATGACTACTTATTAATAAAAAATAAATTTCAATTTACAGAAAAACAAAAAAATCCGATAATGGCATCCCGCAAGAAAGTACTACTGAAAGTAATTATCCTCGGGGATTCCGGAGTCGGAAAAACCTCCCTAATGAACCAGTACGTCAACAAAAAATTTAGCAACCAGTACAAAGCAACTATTGGAGCTGATTTTTTGACTAAAGAAGTAATGGTTGATGATAGGATAGTTACTATGCAGGTAATAATTTAAATTAAAAATTTCTATAATAAATCAATTGATGAAAAAACTATAAAAATATTTTTTGTTCCTCAAAAGATTTGGGATACAGCAGGACAAGAAAGATTCCAATCACTGGGAGTTGCATTTTATCGAGGCGCTGATTGTTGCGTGCTAGTATTTGACGTCGCAGCCCCAACCTCCTTCAAATCATTAGACTCATGGCGAGACGAATTTTTAATCCAAGCTTCACCCCGAGACCCCGATAATTTTCCATTTGTCGTGCTGGGCAACAAAGTCGATCTTGAGAACAGAGCTGTAAGCTTTATTTACTGTTGTGACTTTACTACTTTATATTACCGCTTAGCTCAATGAGACCATGAGTCTTTTTTTTTTATTTTTATTTTTACTGCGATGTAATACTTAGTTGATGATAATTGTCGAGTTGTTGGTAATTGAGCCGTTATTCTTTTAGGTCTCCAGCAAGAGAGCACACCAGTGGTGTCAATCAAAAAATAATATCCCGTACTTTGAAACGAGCGCCAAAGAGGCTATTAATGTCGAACAAGCTTTCCAGACGATAGCTAAAAATGCTTTGGCTCAAGAAAGCGAGGTAATTTTTATTATTTATATAGAATATTTTTTTTATTCATTGAATTGATAGATAAATAAATATCCTTCAAGAAGATTGACATTGAAGAATTAATATAAATACAAATACAATTTATTTTTATAAACTTTCATCAAATTGAAAAAATTTTTAAATTAATTCTTGAACATTTTAAGAATTAATTATAATTTTTTTTTTTATAATTTAAATTTGATAAATATTTTTGAATTATTCTATACCAATTGATGTAAAAAAATTTTATTTACTATTTTAAATGCCTTACACATTTATTTTTGGTTTTTTTTTTTTTTTTTTTTTTTTTTTTTCTTTTCATAATTAAAAATATTGAATTCTTTGAAATTATTACTCATTTTTGGACTAAAATATTGATAACAATAATTAAATTATTACAGGTGGAACTGTATAACGAATTTCCAGATCAAATAAAACTCACCAACGATCAAAGGAGTAATGGCAAGGGTGATTCATGTGCCTGCTAGAATATCAGGAGATAAGAATAACGAAAATAATTATTTGGTCAATCGTAAACACAAGAAAAAAATAAAATAAACACAAAAAAAAATGAATGGATAAATAAATAAAAATTAATACAATGCAGGTCAGATTGTACGTGTGTGCTCTCTGTATGTTTAAGTGTGAGAACCATCGCAGCGAGACGTCGGTGAAATTAATAAACAGAATAATCGGTAATTGAAAGAAAAATTAAAATAAAATGAAAATCTCGGTGCTTTGTTGACTCACTTAAATTACAATGTTAAACACAAGAACAAATAAAGAATTAAAAGACCAGTTTTTTCAAATGTACGATAAAGTGAATTGAAAAATATTCGATGAATTTTTATCTAGATGCAATTGATTAATCGTTAATAATTAAAATAAATAATAATAATAATAATAATAATAATAATAATAACAACAATAATATTTAAATAAATTACACTTTAAATATATATTATTTAGTTGGTTATATAATAATAATAATTATTATTATTATTAATTGATACAGTTTTATTTTTATCACCAAAAAAATAAATCGATATATATATTCCGAAATTACTCATTTTTTAATTAAATACGCGATATTTACTTTAAATTAATTTCGTCATTTTTTATTTTTAATATGAATGTTTTTTTTAAACGAGTAGCTTATTGGAATTCAAATTGTTCACTTTGATTAGAGGTTTATAGGTACGATAAATAGATATTTCGAGATAGGTCATATCTAGCTTATGAAATTGTTTAATGTTTATTTTAAATCTGCTCAGTCTTTTATAAGTTATAATTTATGATTAATTTTTGGACTCGTAAAATTGTATTTTGAAAAATAAAAATAATGGATTTTCATTTACATAATTTTCTTTTGTTTTTTTTTTTTTCATGTTAAAATTGTTAGTTAAGATTAAAAATAATTAAAAAAAAAAAAAAAATTAAAACAGTGACAGTAAATTAAAAAGAAATTTTTGTGTGATCACGTAAATATTTAATTTTAAAATAACACATTAAAAAAATGTTCTCATTTTTTCAATAAATTATAAAATTTACAGCTCGCTGTTTTATTTTTCTCTTAAAAATCCATCGCTGATGTAATTAATTTAATTGTTGTAGAAAAAAAAAAAAAAATTTAATTTAAAATATTCAAAAACAATAAATCAAATTTGTATTTACGGGTTACCTATTACTTTGAATTTATAACATGTTACGAGTCTTGTTAAAAAAGTAAAGATAATAATCGACATATCTGTGAAAATTCTACGTTTGTTTTTTTGAACAATCAAATGGTTTATTTTAAAAAACTAAAATATTAAAAGTGTGGAAATATAAATTTAACATATATAAATAATGGTTATTAGTGTTGATAAAAATATTAAAAGTGGTGATTTATAATTCGATAAAATATTTCGTATGAAAAGTTATAAATGATAAAATTAATAATGAGAACGTGAAATATATGAACGTACACTAATTGAAAAAACTTTTTTGACGGCTGAATTAAATTTAATTGTCTGGACGTTCATATTGATACTCATGTATATAATGATGATCTTTATTATTATTATTTTAATTTTAATTATTCTTAATTATTATTGTGGTAATATATTATTTGAACACTACCTTTAATAGATATATTATAATTATTTATACGTAACTGCTATAAATTTACTCTTGCTACTCTTAATTTTAAGTCAAAAATAAAACAAAATATTCAAAAGTCAAGTGTAATTTTATCATTGTACCTGTAATTTTAATTTCTTATATTTTATTTGGGGGGGGGGGGGAGGGGAAAAAAACTGTTCACTCATTTTTTTTAACATTAAAATATGGTAATCATTTTTCTCATCACAATTTCGTGTAAAAATATTTATTTTTTAACTAAAAGATTTTTTTTTAATTTTGCCGCAACATAAAAACAATATTTGGAATTAGAAAAAAATATTAAGTAATTTAATGATTGATTGTTGTTATTTGATGTTTGACGGTAAATATGTTTGAATGCGATAGCGATCTAATCGAATACATCCTAACGATAAAGAATGAAAGGTGTACATATTATGTACATATATATAGAGGCATCGACCCATGTAAAATGCTCATTTGTGACACAAATAAATATAAAGGTGAAATAGATCCACAGAAAATTTGAATTAACGATATACTTATACTGTAATATATAACATAAATAGAGAACGTGTAAATAAAATAGGCCTGACAGGAAATTACTCCTAAAACGATTCGATAAACCGTGAAAATTATACCATACATTTATTTACAACAGTACCTCATTTGGTTTACTTTTTAAGTAATATTTTTTTATGAAAAAATTATTTCCAAAAATTTTTTCTTTAATTTCATCAATTATATTTATAATAAAAAATTTTGTGAAAGGAAAAAATCAAGATTTAGATAGCTTTTTTGCTTTTCAAAGTTGAACAAAATTTTGGCTTTCATGTTTTTGGATAAAATTTATATTTTATGTTTTTTTGATATATTTTTTTTTTTTTTTTTTTTTGAAAAGTACATAAAAAGACGAAAAATTAAAAAAAAAATGATCAATTTAATAAAAAAATATTTATTGTAAAGATTTGAATAAAAAATAAAAATTCTATAGTTATTTTCTTACAACAGAACAAAAAAAAATTATTTTTATTTTTGATTTCTATTATTGAACATTTGTAAGCAATAAATAAAAATGACCGTGAAGAAAACAATTATTAATAAATAATTATAAAGTTGTCATTTATATTGTTTATTTCAGTTGTTCATAAAAAATGACAAATTAGCTATTAGTCAGATAAGTATTTGTTTATAAGATAATAAAATACAAAAGTTTATTAAAATTTTTTGATATCACAATACCGTCAACAATGATAAATAAAAAATACATAAGATAGATTACGTAATGACAAGGACAATTGAGCTGGTTAGTTATTTATTTACATATACTTACTTCTTACCGTCCAATATATTAAAAATAAAGAAATAAATAAAATTGTATAGAACAAACTTATGAGATGTATCATTAATTTACATAGACAATTTGAATATCAATAAACGTATGAAAGTTTAAGATATTACTCATACGAGTGCTTGTCATCGTTTATTGTGTGATAAGTTTTTTATTGTATAAGCACTTATTTTTATCGCTAGTTAAATTGGTAATTAATGTACTAGTTTTGAATCTTTTTATAATATATTATGCACAGAACAATTTTTTTTAAAACATGATTACTTTTAATTGAATATTCGAGTTTTTGAAAATTTTTGATGATTTTTTCATATTAGTAAAAATGCGAATAGTGTGTTATAGTAAAAGTTTATTTAAAGAGCCATCAGACTAGTCTTTATATTAATAAAAAAAATTAAGTTGCTTGAAGGACAAAAATTTTGAGCTAAGAAAATAATTTTGAAGAATTTCATTGTTTTAAATCAAGAAGAATAATTTTTGAATCATTTAAAATTCTCTTAAATCAAAAACAATTTTTTAGGGAGCTAGTTTTATCATTTTAAAAAATTTACAAATTCTATAAGAATTACATAAACTGTAAGAGTTAAATTCAAAACTGTAAGAATCAATATTTAAAATTGAATTTATAAAAAATATATTAAAAAAAAAAATCTTTATTTTTTTTTTAAGCGCCAAAATAAAATTTTCAACATTACTAAGTGATTTTTAAAAAAAATATATTTTTCACTTTCAGAATCACAAAATATTTTTTTAAATTAAAATTTCAATTTCAATTTGAATATTTTATTTATCGCTTTGAAAAAATAAACTAAAATAAAAGAAAAAAACTGATTTTCAAAAATCGATCAAATTTTCCAAATTGCGATATTTAAATCTCTCTTTTTTTTTTTATTTTTCTCTCAGAAAAAATACAAATTACGACAGAAAATTTAAATTACTAGATTAAAAGTTTTAAATACAACCTCTTCAGCATGGGTTGAAAAATAGAAAAATAAGTGAAACTAGATTTAAATAACTCCTGCTGACATTGCACAATAAATCCATATATTTAAAACCCGACAACAATACCCGCACAATAATGTTTTCGTCTAGTTTCCAGTATAATAATATAATACTATACGGTAATTATTTTAAAAGATTTCCAATCTCCTAATCCGCTGCACAGAGCACTCTCACATACTCATCAACAAATAGTAGTAGTTGCGAAAAATTTTATTTAAACATGAATTAGATGTAGTAAGTAACGAATGGTTATTCGTTTCCATGCTCGGCGATGCTCGAAATAAAAATTCATGCTGTAATCTGTAGCACAATAGCTTTAATTTACAACTTCATTTTTGTTAAAATTTTGCATTTTCATATCCTTTATTCTTATTCTGATCCTTATATACCTCTATTTTTGAACTTTACCTCTTACTTTGACTCTTAATTTATTTCAGTCAAGCTCCTGTGAACATTTATTTCAACTATTTAAATAAGATCAACGATTATTACAACCTATGAGATTTTTTTTGTTAAAAATAAATTATTATTTTCGTTTTCTATATTTTTATTTAATAAAAAAATCATGCAATCCTTTTTAGAGTTTCTTTTATTTTTTTTCTACGAAGCTGAAAAAAAATAATAGTATACAATTTGAATAATATGTATTATTGTATAGAATAAAAGTAAAAGCAAACTCCAAAATTATTCATTAAAAAATCATTAAGAGCATTAAAATATCAAAAGATTAAAATTTTTTAAGAAATCGTATTAGAAAGTTTTTCATTTTTTTTACTCTAAAAAATAATTAACAAAATTTTAGCATAGGTAAAATTCAGAAAATAAATATCTATTCAAGTTGTTATTAATTAATTAAAATGAAATTTTTAGTTTTCTTTCATCTACATTTTTTTCTAATAAATAAAGACAAAATTTTTTGCATCAAAAATACATAATTAATATAGAAATTTATATTATTAAAAATTAATGTCAAGAAATTATTTAAAAATTTTTTATTGGATACGGGTATCAATACCCGCATAAATTTCAGGCCAAGAGAAAGTTAAAACAATAAGAAATAATAATTAAAAAATGGTTAAATTATACTAAACAATCGGTATTTAAAACAAAGATTCAAATGAATCATCCTTGATGGATGGCATACTTTTAAAATACGCGTCGATAATCACAGTTTGTCGCATAAAGTGAGAGAAGTTTAGTAGAATTAGAATAGTTCAAATGAATTAAGTAATTCTGAAAAAAGTTTAAAAAGTCCATGAAAAAATGGTAATTGGGAAGCGAACTAGTCGCATCAAGGGCTCGTGACATCCGTTTCCTTTATTTATTAATCTGCCTTGGGATTCCGGTGCATAATAATTCTATCTCGGCTAAAAATCAACTTGCCCATAAGTATACGTAGTAACATTTAAAATATAACATTGTTAATGCTTTAAATACATATCTGGATGCACAGACCGTGAAGTACGATTTGCCAACAACTGCATTTAGCTATACGCATTTTAATAACCACACAAACACTCGAATTTTTTTTTTTTTTTTTTCACTTAAAATAATCTTTGCAAAAAAATTTATTAGTTAATAATTACTTGCAATCAGTAAAATTATTTTTTATGACGAAATTTTAAACTGAGATTGGATCTTTGGGTGTTACTCATCTATTTTTAGTACGGTAATTATTTATTATTTATTATCTATTTTTTTAAATTGGATTCTTAAATAGTGGAAAATTGAAGAAGAAAAAAAAAATTACATACTATCGGCAATTTATCTTAATTTTAAATTGTGTAATTTTTTTTTATTATCATAGCGCCGCTAAAAGGTAAAAAAATAAATAATCGCGTAATGACGCGAACCGTAGATTGTTATAAAAATTATTTTGAATAAAGGAAAAAAAATTTTGAATCATTTGATTTAAAAATTTTAGAAGTTAGAAAAATATCAAATAAATTTACTCTTCCTGTAATTTGTTTTTCTTAAAAAAAAAAAAAACCTATTTAGACGAGTTAATGAAAAAAATTCAACGCGTGTTCAACTTAAAAAAAAAATAAATGATTTTTTGGTTTTATCTGCATTGTATACATAGCATGAGAAAAGTTTTTTTTTGAAAAAATTTTGTCTAAAAATTAGCAATTTTATCTAAAAAAATTTTTAAAATTGTCCGGATATGACTTGATCTGCTTGTATGTAATTTTTCTACCAAAAGCAGTGTTTAAAATCGCCAACAGAGGGCGGATGGTCGCTGAATTGTCTCTTTACTAGAGAGTTGAATTCCAAAATATAAATCATTTCTTTTACTATCAAACTTAATAAATAATTCACACAAATTTCTATAAAAATTGAAAAATTATTTTTTTTTTCTCATACATAGCCTAATAAGTCCACTCATGAAAAATTTTTTACTGGTCAAAAATTTCTCTACTTGATTCAAGACGAACTCTTAAAAATAATTTTTTTCTCTTAATCAAATGAATTTATTTCTTCTCTATCGTAAAAAACTTTCAGTACAAAATTCACCAAGATAAAATATTTATCAAAAAACACTTAAAAATTAGACTTGAAGTACTTGAAAAGCCATTAAATTCTAACTAGTATAATCTGTAATCATTGATGCTTGAACAGGTGGTCCTACATAACAAAAGTACGCGCTTAAATGTACTGTTCCGTGTTATGTAGATACAGTAGTGTTGTATACATCATATATCATACATCGTACATTGTATGAAGTAACCATCACCCACGGTACCGGGTTAATACAATTGCGATTGCATTTTATTTAACGTTCAGTACAGAACAGTAAAGTACACAGACGTTAACAATCCGCTGGCGGTGTCGCATCACTTTTCATTTGTATACTTTTCATTGAATCCCGGGCATTACTCACAAGTGTACCCATATCTGCCTACATGTTTACTCTTCTTTTCACTCAACGCTATGCATTGTCATGCTAAATAACTAGTGATAAATAATATTAATACAATAAAAAATATATCTTTGTATTTGATGAAAGTTGCAAAAGTGTTTAGTTTTGTTTCTAGGACAACGATAAAAATTTATTTTATTTCATTTTAACGTTGCCTTTATCTACGATTATTTGAATATATCGATACTAGGCACCAATCATGCCTGTGCATACACCTACATACACCTTTTTACATATGTGTATCACTATTAACGTTAACATGTGTAATAATGAAAACCGAGTGACCCAATTGTCAGACAAACAAAGCTGCTTTACGTAAACGCGTTTTTAGTTTACTTATTTTTTTACTTTTTTGTTATTTGTGTGTCAGTGGATGGGTTGAGATGGAGAGGTGGAACTTTTGAGATTTTCCACTACTAAAAAGTCTCACTTTTTTAGTTAGATCACTTTCGATCAACACCCGCGAGACTGCCTTGGAAAAAATATAATTAATAAAATTTAGTGGAAATATTAATTCATTTTTACTAAACAATAGTGATTACACGTGTCATGAGTTATGTAATGGTAATATACAATAATATATGATGATGATGATGATGATGATGATGATGATGATATGAAAAATAGAGTTTAGTCGGTAGGAAGACGATAGGCTGAGATATGTTGCTGTTACTGCTACTGTGATTGCTGTGCGGATAGTTTTGATTGGCTCAGTTGATAATTTTTTCCGAAATTTTAATTTAGTAATTTTATTTTAAATATTTATTTGAGTCAAGAGGTAATGATGCGAAGGACACGGATACAAGTTGTTGTTATCATTCACCTGGTCTTCGGCGGTATTACGGGTTAGTGCTATTTATAATATTTATTGTCTACTTTTATTACGTGATGAGAATATTTTTTTTCTATGTTTGATTTACTCGTTTTGTGTAATTTATTCGTAATATATATGTAATTTTTTTTTTTTTTTTTATTTACTTTTGGTGAAATATATTACTTTGGCTGATAAAAATATTCATATGTTATTTTGATTTTTTGTGCAAATAATATTTGATGTCGTTATTCATTTATTATTCTTAATTTTAAAATATTTTAATAAAAAATTATTTGCAATTTTTTTTAATTAATTTTCTTTGAGTTAATACAATAAAAAATTGAAGATTATTAAATTAGATATTTGAAAAAAGTAAATTTCTTAGAAAAAAATTAAATCTCAAGTTTTGATAAATAATGTTGGATTGAAAATTTAATTTTTAATTAGTTATTTTATAAAATTATTTTTATTGAAGTAATTTTCGTTTTTTAGTTGGAGAAAAATGTGGAAATTGGAGTTGGGAAAAAGTGGACGGCATGATGCCAGAAAGTTATGTTGCGAGTGATATTCTTTATAGTGCAGCGGATAATGATGGAATTGTAACAGCTTGTTTTGATAGGTAATTTTTTTGGTCAATAAATTTTTTATATAAAGTATTTTTTTTTTTTACTATTCTCTGTTATGATTATGAGTAACTTTTTCAATGTAAATTAAATAATTATAAGATAATTTTATGAGCAATAAACATATTCAATACAAATCTTTGAATAAATTAATGTAATGTTTGGAAAATGTAAAATTATAATTGATTTAATTATCAATGTTGTGAAGTTAATAATTAAAATGATTCATTGGTTTGATAACATATAATTAAAAATTGTTTGTTATTATTAATACTAATAATAATAATAATAATAATAATAATTTTAGATGTTTAAATGCAAATTGTACAGCATTTTTCATTGATATTGAACAAAGCACGTGTTCAAAAGTCACAACAGAAAGTGAAAAATTTGAAACAGCGCCAACATTTGCTTACTACCACAAAATATGTTTACCAGGTATTTTTTTATAATAATATATAGAATAGGTATTAATGAAGAATAATATTGTAACATTGATAATGAATGATAATTATTATTATTATTATAATTATAAATTAGTGCCAGTGGAGTGCAGTAAAGATAGAATATGGCAAGTCCAAAGGACCTTGGGAGAAATCCTAATAGATACGACGGTTAATTGGCTACCTGAAGTCATGACGAGGAGTAAATGCTATCAGAAGTGCATTGCAGCAGGTAAATTATAGTTATATTTTAAATTATTTAATTGCTTGTAATTTATCTATCCATTTAAATTATACAGTACCATTCGTCTCATATAATTTAGATAATTTTATTTATCAATTCAAACTAATCATGTCATTTATTATTTTTCAAGGCAATAGATGCAAATCTGCACAATTTCGAGCAAGCATTGATCTTGCTATCGGTGATATTCAAGGTATTTGCGCTCTTTTGTCTATAGAAAGAGGTATCAGGCCGCAATCTTACCGGGCAGCGCCGTATCGTGATGAATATTTAGAAATTCAGTGCCATAAATTATGTAAGTTTTTTTTTTTGATAATAATTTACAAAATATTTAAAAATAATATCAAGTTAAGAGATGAAAAAATTTTTGATTATATTTAAAAATAAAAAAAAAATTTAATAATTAAAAATTTTGCTAGTATAAATTTATAATAGAAAAAAATATGTTTTTTTTAATTGTAAAAATTTCTTCTCTGTAAAATAATTTCAATTCTTAATAAAATTTTTAGCAAAAAAAAAAAAATAATTACAAATTTTTTTATTTGCAGCAAATACTGATTATTGTTCATACGCAGAGTTTAAAAATGAGACGTTGCCATACTCAGATTTAAAATTGATCAATTATGATGCAAAACAGGTAATTTATCAGAAAACTTAATTCACAAAATTAAATAAATAATTGAATAATCATATAAATAATTAAAGTGCGAAGAGAGATGCAATGAATCAAACGACGGATTTATTTGCCGTGGATATACGATCGATTACGCATCAAAGTACTCACCAGTCTGCTTGCTGCATTCCTATGACACGATAACTGCAGGAGTTAGTTCATTAGTCAAAGTTACAAACGGAATTTACAAAGAACGTGAACCCTGTTTAAATCGTAAAAATTTTTCATTCATAATTTAACTTTTTCACAAATAATTTTCTTCTCATCGATGATTTCAATTGGCAATTAAATTTGTTTCAGTAAAAGTATCATGCGGAAACTCGAGTGTAATTATCGAATTAGATACTCCAGAACCATTCAACGGCAGATTATACGCGAGTGGTTACAGCGAAACTTGCAACGTGCAAGGGACCGGTTTGAATAAAACGATACTTGAGTTGCGGATTCCTGATAAAAAGGAAATGGGCAATGGCAATATTGACTGCGGAATTCTACCGGCGTATGCTATAGAAGACAACAATCAGTAAGTTACCAACTGTCGCAATTTAAATTGTAAAATTTATTGGCGTTTTTTCCATTAGAACGCGCGTTGCCGTTTGGGTAACTGTCGTAGTACAATTCAATGCAATAATTCAGAGATTGGGCGATCAGTCTGTAAGAGTGGGATGTACTTTGGACGATGAAGTTCCGGGGCCAAGGAATATAACTATAGGATCAGGATTTGATTTTTTGAATCCTAAGTAAGTTAATTCTTAATATTAGACTGAAAAAAAAAAATTGATTTTTTTGGATCAAGATTTTTTATCTTGAAGCAAGATAATTTTTAAAGTAAAAAAAATTTGATACCACAAAAAGTAGGTCAAAAAATTTTGCAATTACTACATTTTGAAATAAGAGCTGTAATATACTTGAAGATAAAATACCCGCATTTATGAAAAAGATTAATAATTTTTTACCTATATAAACTATAGTATATACTTGTAGAGAATTTAATTTAGTTTGTAAAAATATATTTTAATTTGAAGTTTGCTGGGTATTTTGTATTTGATAAAATTTTGTTAAGTCAATTTCTGTCTAAAAATATTCAAAACTTTGAATTAATTAATTTGATAAACATACAAATATAGCGCGGGGCTACCACCAATTGTTGGAACAATTTTTAATACCACAGCATCGCCAATGGTGTCGATGAGGATCTTGGATGAAAACATGCGAGAAATCGTGTCTGCAGAATTGGGACAAAGGCTTGTGTTGGCAATTGAAATGAATCCACCTGACGGTAATTAATCCTTACAATTTCAAAAAATTTATTTTTACTTATAGAAGTCAAAGTGGCAAAATATGTAGATAAATTTTCTGATAAGGCTATCTATAAACGATGAAGTAAAATATTATTATCAAGATTTTTTTATTTTAAATTATACCTAAAAATTTGGAAATTGGAAGAAACTAGAAAGTATAAAATACATTTTAATAAACCTAAAACAAAACTAGTGAAAAAAAATCATTTTAGTAGTTTGACTTTCTAGTAAAGCGTCTATAAATTTTTGAAACTATTTTTTAATGTCATTAAACTTAGCCGACGTTCTAAATTTTTTGATTTTTTTTTTAATAATCAAATTAGAACAAAAAAATTTTTTTAAAAATTGCACTTACAGTTTTTGAAGTTTTTTAGACGTGCAATTTTTTTTTTTAATTTTTTTGGTAATGATTTTTTCAATAAAAAAAAATTATAAAAATTTTTAAATGTCCGCTAACTTAATTTTCATTATTTTTTATTATATTTAATCAACTACTAAATCAATTTTTTTTAATAAAACATTTTAATTGACGTACACACGTCTACAAAAAAAAAATTATAACAAATTAATTTTTTACTTTCGCAAATAGCCTAATATGGCTTATAAACCCATTTTATAATACAGACATACTCCTCACAAATATTTTACTTATAATCTAAATTATATAGACAAAAAATAACTAAAAAATTTTGTTTTAAGGCCCTTATGATATGGCAGCAGGACACTTGGTAGCAAGTAGTACCTCTGGCGATGCATCAATACTGTTACTAGACGAAATAGGATGTCCTACCGACGCAAAAATATTCCCCGGAATGTTTAAAGACCCCGTTAACAATAAATCACTGATATCAACTTTCACGGCTTTCAAATTCCCGGACAGTTACCGAGTGAAATTCAACGTGATAGTGCGTTTTTGCCTGTCTGAATGTCCTCCTGCGAGGTGCAAGGGCGACATTGTGTCCTACGGACGGCGTAAAAGGTCAACGGCAACAGTCGCCGAATGGAATGAAGTCAATTCCGAGATGGATACTATTGAAGAATTGCCGCTGGAGTCTTCAATTATTGTCCGGGACGCGGTAATTGCTGCTGATCCATTACGCTCAGGAAAAAGCGATACAATTTTTTTAGCTGGCGAACGTAAGTGTCTTCTTTATTATAATTTGAATAAAATATTTACAACAGATATCAGCAATTATTATTTTTTTTTTTTTAGAATCAATGGAAGGATTACTGTGTGTTGACGCAGCACTGGCATTAGGTCTTCTTATTTTCTGGCTAATTGTACAAATTCTGTTAACAATGACTTGTATCTACGTGATAAGAAAATACCGGAGGGTTGCGCGCAAAGCCGAAGAAGACCGTGCAGACATTTTGACGAGACATTTGTACGGTATTCACGGTGGTAATTTTGAAATTTCACGGCGGGTTCGGTGGGCGGATCACAACGGCTCTACTATCAGTTAATATTTCATTGAATTATTAGCTTTATTTATTGATAATGCCAAATAAATTATGTTAATATTACATTTTTTTATACTTAGTTTTAAGAAGTGAAACAATATTTTGTAGAAATTTTCTGATTTGTACTAAGTGTTTTTTTTTTTTTTTTTTTTTTTTTTTTTTAAATATATATGTATGTTAGAATTATGGTAAATTATAATTTTAAGTCCAAAGATTTGTGTATTGAAAGTTATTAATAAAAATAATTGTTTTTACATCGTATTTCCAAATTTAGATGGAATAAACTCTATGTGGTAAATTACTAACAAAACAAATACTTCAAAAAATTTATCTCAAGATTGAGTTTATAAATATTAATTATATTTTTACAAATAATTTGACTCGAAACATTGAAAGAAATTTTAATAGAGATGATTTTATTTTTGTCTTGTTGATAAATTCTAACGCGAAAAGCGAATAAATAATAAATTATTATTACTACGTTTAATTAAATAAAATTAATTACTTTAATGTTTATTAAATTAACTTTTTTATGACAATTTTTATGATTTCTTAATAAAAATAAATTATTATAGAGAAAAATTTATGAAAAAATTATACTTGCAGAAATTAAAAAAAAATTTTGATAAAATTTTTTTTGTGAAAATTCAATAATTTTTATACAAATACTTTTTCTCAAATTTTAAATATTTATTTACATTTAATTTAAAATTAAAAAAAAAAAAATAATATAAAGTAAGTTTATTTCAATAATGATTTAGTTTTTGAAATTCAACCTCGAGCAGAACTTGTAGAACAAGTTCCATAGTAAGAAAGTCTTACATCTGCAAAAAAAAAAGGTAAATAAATTATATTCATTAATAAAATATAAATAAGAGAAGGTTAAGGTTAATAAAACGGATGGCTCTATTAAAATTAAAATAATTACCTTTACCACATGCCCTCGCGCAGCCGAGGCGTCCAGGATTACTGTAAACAAGACCGTCAGAGCCGCAAACTGGATTAAACTCCGACGTCGCCTATTATTTAAAAATAATGAATAAATAAATGGTATTTAAAGTACGGTAGGTAAATAAAAATGTTGAGAACCGGTTGTTAATTGCCCGGAGACTATTTGTCATTGGAATAAAACTAAAATAAGGCATTAACGGCTGGTGGAAGATGGGAGTCATTAATCATGCATATTAAATTGTATTTTTTTGTGAATAAAATTGTTTTCTTTTTCTTTTTTTATTATAAAGTGGCTGAATACTAACGAGGCAATTCTGGACGCAAGTAGTCGTAGCAGGAGACATTGTTGTTGTTGTTGTTGTTGTTGTTGTTGGTGTTGATGGGCCTGTTGACGTCATTGGAGGACGCATGTTGTTTATTCCGTCGATTAAGTTCGGATTGTTGCGATCTGCGGGTCCGTCGAATATAAATCCGTCTACTGGATATGGGTCCTCGTAATCGATCTGTTAATTAAATTATTTTTAGTTTATAAGATCTGTAATTAATTATTTGTTGAAAAAATATTCAAAATTATCAATTTCCATTAGCTTCATTTATTACGATAAGTTGTGTATTTATTGAGTACTTACTTGTGGGCGGGCTTGGGACATTAATATACCGGCGTAGATTATCGCACAAGCTGGTGAAAGAATAAAAAATTTTTTAGATAATTTTTTAATTTTATTTAATAAACAAATTTTTTCGAAAAAATTGCATTTATAATTTTTTTTAATTTCTACATGTCAATATTCTTTCTCATTCTTTTTGCCATGATTTATTTGTTAAAAAAAATTATTAAATATCTGCTAAGTTAATTATCATGGAAAACACAGTTAAATCAATTTAAACAATCATTGAATTGCAACGTTTCATCTTTAACAACAAAAAATTATTTTATTGTGATTTTTCTTGTTGAAAAAATTGAATAAAAAATTTTTTATTTAATATTTTATTGAAATTTAGTACTGAAAAATTTGAAAATTAAAAAAATTAAGTAATTGGAAGTTAAAAGTAATTTTTTTGAAAAATCGAAAAAGTAAAAAAATTTCACTTAGAAAAAATTGATTCTTAAAGAGGAAACAAAATTTATTTTCATCTCGTTAAAAAATAAATAAAAAATTCACTTACCGAAAAACCAATTTACTTTACACGACACCATGTTTCTCCAGCAAACTAAATTACGTACTCGTAGAAAATAATAAAAATTGATCTCAATACTGAATCCACGACCTACTCAAGTTGAACGATCAACCGACATTGATTCTGTATCACCTTAGCTCTATATTTATATAAATGGGATTTACCGAGGACTCGCGCGAAGACATTCTAGATAAGTGAAAAAAAAAATCCCGATTCTCGCTATTTGCCTCGGGCATTCCGCTAATGTATCTTGTGCTCTTGTCTGACATTATTTCGTCATCCATGTGGTCAAGCGACATAATATTTTTCACACTAATTATTAATACCAACTATTTTCCGCTAAGATACGTCATACATTCTTAACACGCGATACTTAATTAATCCTCGGTACTCAAACTTCATATGATGTTTTTTTTATTCACACTCATTTTGTTCCACGTAATGGAGAGAAATAAATAAAATAAAGTTTTGAGGAGCAAATAATGAAAATTTACTGATGAAAGTAACTTAATTAGTTTAATGTTCTGCAATAAAAGGTACTTATTGTTTTATCTGTTTCAGATTGATAAATGTAACAAAATCTCATAAAATTTAATGCCTAAGACAGTAAATAGGTTGAAATGGATTTAGAAGTACTTACAAAACGGAAAATCCCCCTTTTAACGGAGTGATTACTTGGTAATTACTTTATATTAAAGACGGGTTTTTTGGCCGAGTAAAGAGGGAAAATTTTCAGTGGCTCGTAAAGACTGAGATCGGAGATCGAGGATTTGAAGTAAATAAATTGAGGTGCGGTTTCATATTAATGATAGTGTAATTTATTAACAGGGGAATCCTTACTTTTTGTTGTGGGAAAATACGTACAACTTTTGAATATTTCATTGCTGATATCATTAATTGTCGTTTCGTCTTTCCATTTTTTTTTTTTTTAATTTCTATAATAATTTTCTGATGAATAATAAATAATAAAATTATTAATTAAGCTGGGAATTTGGAGGTTGAAAACTTAATTGAAAAATAATAACCCGTAAAAAATTTTTATATAAGTTTTAATTAATAATTTTTTAGAAATATGTACTTTAATGAACAAGGTTCATTAAAAAAAATTGGTGTAAAAGCGAGTTAAATTAATAATCAATTTAAAGAACGCTCCTTAAGAATAAAAAAAAAAATTCTTTATATTATAGAACTTAACTCTCTTGTAAGGAGAAGATTTAGCGATCGTATGCCATCTATCGAAAATTTTCTACACTAACTTTGTTTGAAATATTATAAATGACCATATAAGATAAGAGTTAAAAATTGAAACTTTTAAAAACATGAAAAATAAAAATGAATTAAATAAATAAATAACAATAATAAAATTAACATAATGAATTGCTTTTATTAATTAATATATAATATGCATTATAATTTTTATTTATGAAGACAGAATATATTGCATCTATATGTTACGTTACATCAAATATAATAATCTTTTTCAATTTCAATAAAATTACAATCCATAAACAAATTTTGATATAATATTCATATATTTATTTAATATTTACTTCAATCAGTTTATTTCACCGGGGTCATAACTACGTTGTTGTCATTCGTTTATTATTATTATTAACATTATTACAATTATTTAATATATTTATTAAATATACCTGCCATATATACATCCATTTATAACTCCAGTTTACAATATATATTTTTAGTAATACATATAGATTTCTTCATAAATAATTTTAAAATCACTGTTATTATTCGATATACACAAATCTGTAACTTTCAGCGCATTATACTTTCTTCTTTCATTTTATCACATACAATCAAATGGTAGTCAACTAAATCTCAATAAAGTTTACAAAGTACATCAATTTACGACAAGTAAATAATTAACTAACTTATTACAGACATAAATTTTTTTTTTTTAGAATTTCATCTTACCATACTTTAGTCAACAAATTTTTTTTTACACGCAAACACATTAAATCGAATACATAAATTTTATTAATAATTTTTAAACACTTAAAATATTGTTTTTAATTCTCAACTGAATTATTGAAGTAATAATTTTTTTTGCAATAAAAATGCAAATTTTTTAATGATTTCTCTTCCAGCCCAAAGAACATTATTAATTAAGTATAATTTTATATCCGTATACAAGTAATTATTAAACGATCAATTAACGCAATACTTAATAATTAATTATAATAAATAATAAAGATTTAATTAAATTCTTAATAATAATACAAGCGGAGATATTAAAAAAAAAAAAAAAAAAAAAAAAAAAAAAAAAAAAAAAACAGCTTGTGTGACTGAAGTATGATATTTGTCAATAAAATTTGGTCATAATTTTAATAATTAGTAATTACCAGACTTAATAAATTTAAATAAAACATCTTCGTTACAATCACGGATCCCTATCGTCCAATGACACATAGGTATTAATTCCTTTTATATACTTTATATTTAATATATATTTATAATAACGATTAATAACATTCAGAGAAAAATATAGTGCCTATTTGTTTTTGACTAAGTCCATAAAGTTTACAATTATGTTATTCTGTTTTTTTAACAATTAAATAAGTTGCGGACATCGATTAACATAAATTATAAATAGTTTTCACAATTAATACTGACATAGGTTTAAAAAAAAAGTCTAGTATATATTTATAAATTTGTAGTTTGGTTGTTAGGGAATTGAAAGTTTACTTTCCGGATTGCGGATAAATAAATTTTATTTGCCACATAACTTGTTATCTGTGGAAAATATTCTGCAGTTAGTATAATAATTATTATTAATATAAACAGTTATTTTATGTTTGTAAGAGATCAATCAGTTAAAAAAAAAAATTTTTTTAAACAATTGACTTATTGAATCCTGATGAATCATTATTTTTAACATCATTTATTATCCTTTTATTAGTATTATTAATATCAAAGCTGTTAATTAATGATTTATCGGAATTATTTAAGTTTTTTGATACTCACTTTTTACCGCGCACACCAATAAATTTACCGCGCATTTCCCATCGTGGAATTTTTTTACCCCTCATGCCGAAGAATCCAAAGGATGATCTTTTGTCGAAGTGGATCGGACTGTCTAAAAAATTTGTATCTAAAAAAAAATTTTTGTTAGTTATTTTTAAAAAATTTCACAATAATTACAGTGTTAAATTAGTAAAAACTTGATTTTTTATGATGAAATGTAAAACGAAAATTTTTCATTATTTAAAATTTTCATTTAGAGTTTGCGGTAAAAATCACTGCGAAAATAATTTACAGCAAATGTTCTGAGTAAAATTACCATAATTTTATGTAATTAAGGCATTATGTAATTTAATAAAAAAAATTATGTGATAATTATTGTGTAAAATTAGCGAAAATAAGATTTTTTAGGATGAAACGTAAAAAAAAAAAAAATGTTTGATTCACAATAAATAAAATAATTCTTAATATAAGTACCTAATGATTTAGGACTGTCGTGATAATCAGCAATCTCGTAAAAACCGTTGACATTTCTCTTGCCTCTCATCCCAACAAAACCCATGTTTGTGCGTTTGTATCCTTCCTTTTTGCCCCGCATCCCTTGGAATCCCATGGGAGCCCTTTTGTCAAACTCACTTGGCTCCATGAGATACTCGTAATAATTGTCCACCTCATTCTTCTTCCCTCTGACTCCCTGAAAGGTTAAAAGTCTAGTTGACAAAAACTACAACTACAACTAAAAACTAAAAGAAACATTATAACTTTAAGTTTGAAATTTGTCAGACAAGGGAATTGTGATGAATAACTCAGTAAATCATGGAGCATTAGCGAATCTGTGAGTACAAAAGCTGAAAGAGGAATTCATGAATGAGATATCAGATTATGAATCCAGGAATGTTTTATGCAACAGGTATATAGATAAAAGTAACAGTTTTAAAGTTCCACGTCGCGAGAACCGTAAATAAACATGTTTGCAAAGAAACAGTTTGTAATTCTGGAGATAAGATTTTAGGGGAGAGAGTACCTGAAAACCCATTGAGACCCGTTTCTCGAGCTCTTGGAGCTCGTGGAGGAGAGCTTTTTTTCCGCGCATTCCTTGGAAACCCTTTGGGGCTCTTTTATCCCAGTCGACGCTTTCATAATCGCTTTTTTTGCCTCTCATCCCGTGGAAACCTGTCGCAGCAGCTCGTTTCTCGTAATCATCCAAATATTCGTAGAGTAATTGTCTGTCAACGGGAATCCCGTAGTAGTCTGCTCCTTCTTCGATTTCGTCTACGACCTATTGAGGAAAAATTTGCGGGTTTTTTTTTTTTTATTATTATGCTGTTGTTTAGCTTGAGTTTTATTATCAATAATAATTAAAAAAAAAATTCCCAACCTCCTCCAGTGATTTTTTTCCACGCATTCCCTGGAATCCCATCATGGCTCTTTTGAAATACTCTTCTTCGAACGGCATCTCTTTCTTACCCCGCATCCCTTGAAAACCCATGGGAGCTCGCTTATCATAATAACTCTGGTAAAAACCTCCAAAGTCATCATCAGGCGAATAATTTTCGTCCTTTTTACCACGCATCCCTTGAAATCCCATAGATGCTCGCTTTTCGTATTCATAGTCCACTAGATTCTCCACGGGATCCGGACCAGTGGGATCTTTTTTTCCTCTCATTCCCTGAAAAACAAAATTTTTTACTATGTATATTTTATGTTCAGTTTATTAAATTTATAATTTTAAGAATTTAGATTAATTTAAATTGATTAAATACTTGAAAACCCATGGGTGAGCGTTTTGATAAGTCGTCGCCGTCCAAATTATTATCGTCCTTTTTTCCTCTCATCCCTTGGAACCCCATTGTACCGCCTCGCTTCGTCAAATCATTATCATTTTCTCCATTTAGATTGTTATTGTTGTTGTTATTGAATAACGGATCCCCGGCTATAATTTTGGTCACTAACAACACGCCGACGATTATTGAGCTGACGTACATTCTAAAAAAAAATCAACTGTTTTCAACATTTCGAGTCAAGACACTTCTATGATTTATTAATAATTAATAATTTATTCATTATACTATTAAAAATTTATTATAAAATAAAATCAATAATTAATTTCAATTAATAAAAAATAAAAAACTTATAAATTACTTACAACTCATAAAATGATAAAAACAAAAAATATTTTTAAAGCAAAAGTTCAATAACTTGAAAACAAATATCTAAAATCGGGAAGTGGAAGTCAATTTATTTAAACAATAAAAAATACTTTAACTAGAAAAATTATTTTGAAAAATTTCGATTAAAATTTTTCTAGTCATTATTTTTTCTAAATGTTTTCTATGAAAGCAAGTTCATTTTTTTATTAAAAAAAAAAATATGATCCTTCTTCTTCCTTTTGTGACAATATTTTGTATTTTATTATTGCAATTAATACAATACAATTACTGAAATAAATTTTTTTTATCTACGTCTCTCGAGTAATCTTCCAATTTTAGTGGTAATTTCGTACGAAATAGGTCCCATGATACCGCATTTTGAAATTTGCTATATGCTTCGCTATTGTTTTGTGACTATTATATTTATACGAAGCTAGTGTAAAGACAATAGATAATAGAGGTCGGTGAAATTGAAATTGAAGATAATTATGCGCGTGTGTTTATTACTAAGCCCTAATATTTAGTAAATATTAATTTCAACAGTTTTCAAGGTGTAAATTTTCCAACGAGCTGAAAAATAAGTGAAAAGTATACTATAGTCACCGCACGTAATGTATGGATGATTAAAGTTTTTATTTTTTTCTGGAGGTAAGACGGTTAACGAACTGAAAAAAAAATTCAATTTTCACATTGTTGTGTATACTTTTTTGTTCTCAGTTAATAAACTCCTTGTGTTCTCTATTTATTTTATTAAAAGTTTTTATTTATTCGGACTTGAGTTGAATATTTTTTGCTAATGAATTTGAATCGCAAGTAAATTAACGCGAACTTGCTCTGTAATTGATGCAAAACCAAGTTGAAGGCTCGGAATATTAAATAAAGGGTAAAACGTTGAACGAATATTTTTTTGTGGTGAGTAAATAACAATGACGATACACAGGATAATTTTTTACAGCATATTTATGTACTGAAAATAAATAGAGGCATTCTTTAATTTCAAGGAACGTACATTTGGAATATTTATGTGCACTGATAGAAAGATTTATTTGTTTTAAAAAAATATTTGTTAATAGTTAACAAATCATTTATTAGAGACCACTTTTTAGTATTAAACAAATATTTCTTAGTATTTAAAATGATTTGTTTGGATTTAATAAATCTGATATTCATTTATTAAATATTACTAAATCTTTTTAAATACTAAGAAATATTTGTTAAGGACTAACAAATGGCTTCTAATAAATGATTTGTTAAATATTAACAAATCTTTTTAACTACAAAAAAATCCTTCTACCAGTGTGGACGATGTAATGACAAATAAATAAAATGTAAAAAGATGTTTACATGTAAGATAGGTTTTTTTTTGTTTCGGAAGTTATATTATGGAGTATAATTAAATTCTGTGGTTGTCGACAGTACTTTGACTTTGACAGAAAACTCTGCGTTTGTAAAATGAGAATTTCATTGATCGAAGAGCTTTTTGAAGTCTTTAATAAAATATATTAAAGCTTAAGAATGTCATTGGTTCAAGAGAATTTAAAGAGTATTTGAGTATAATTTATATTGTTACTTGTAGAGTTTTCATTATAAATTTGATTTAAAAATTTATTATTGTTGTTTCGTAGAAAAAAAAAAAAAAAAAAACCCTTTATCATATTACTATTATTTTAGTAGAAAAATTTTGTCGATAAAATACAGGGTCGGTCCCAGGAGTGTTTTCTGTAGCTGTTTGATCGTAAGATCAGTAATATCCAATAAAATATCAAAACAATCACGTCCCAATCGGAACCTTTTTTCCGTCCTCGATTCCCATTTTACATAATCTACATGTGTCACCCAATAATATATATACATGTATATAGATAGATTCATACATAGTATATCACGTGTAAAAAGTTAACTCATGCTCCTCTATCAGGCCTCAATAAATTCCCTAACTTCCAGACAATAATAAATAATGATTATTCCCTTTTTTTTTTCTCTTTATATTTTTTATCTGTATTCATTAGAGCATTTTTTAAAAATCATATGTGATATAATTTTCAGTAGTGAAAATGGTCCGTCACGCGATACTTCCGTGTCGGTCGATACGGCTGTGATAACAGAGGGTGGGAAAAAATCCACAGAAATAAAACCGCATGTGAATCAGTGTAGAAAGAATAAAAAAGGTAAATCAACATGAGTTGAATTATTGTATGTACCTTTATATTTTACAATCTATGCGCGCATACATATTCAGGTCAAATACCTAATGCAGAATGAATGAAAAAAAAAAAAATATTACAATGGAAAAATTGTTCAATATAAGTACAATAATATTTTTTTTCAATAATGAGTTATGAATAAATTATAAAATTTTAGGAAATTGATTAATTATAAATATTTGTGCTAAAACCAATTAAAGGGGCTGAAATTCATCGAATTTACTTTGCGATTTTAGGCTTGTTTGATATTTTAAGAATATATTTCTTGATAATTTAATAATTTAATCAGGCGGTTCTTTTAAAAAAAAATTTTTTTTTTTCACAGGTGTATTAAGCAAAATTTATTTAAATATTGATTGAATTTTTTTTTATAATTATTTACAATATTTGATAACACGCGCACGAAATTTTTTCTAATCTATCAGAAAATATTTATACAAGCTTCTAGATTTTATCTATAATTTAATTTAAATTTTAGAAACTGTACTTTTTATAATTTAATATAAAATCTAAAATAATAATATAATAAACCCACTTGATCTATTGTACGCAAAAATTTTATTTAATCCAATTACTCGGTTACTTCATGAAAAAATAAACCCGACTCATAATAAATAAAAGAACGAAATTGAAAAATAAACAACGTTAAATCCGCAAAGTAAATAAATCACCGTAGTCAAAATATTTACTCAGGAATTTGATGCCCGCATCAATACACGCGTTTGTAAATATCAATCCAATCAACATGTCAACTTGAAACATTGCTCGCCTGATATAACTATTATCTCGACTTACAATGACATTTAGTTTGTGAATACACGTGTTATTTATATGTGTATCAAAAACAACTATTTAACACATCATGGTTAGTCAATGTAGATTTATTACAATCTATACCCGACGGGAAATTCAATTACTCGCATGCAATTACGTATTAAGCTTTTTCATCAAATTTACACATTCCTTGATAATTTGCAATTTGTTATAATATTAATCATTCGCTCATAGTTAATCAATTGCTTCATTAACATTTTAGCAAACTGAGAGTAATTAGTTTTAATTGATCGTTAGGCATTCAAAAGTCTATTTACGCGTATGAAATTGATGAAATGTAATTTGAGAAATTTAAATTTTTAATTTAGATAATCCAAAAATCCAAGCCTTAAAATTTTTGGTAACTGATAAAAAAAATTAAAATCAAAAATTTTTTCGACTAAAATTTATACTTTGAGGTAATAATAATACAATTAATCGTAAAATATAAAGATCATGAAAGTAATTATAATTACCTAAAAATTTTTAATTATAAAACTTAAATGTTTTGATGAAAATAAATTGATAGGGATAATTAAATCGACGAAGAAGAAAGGTTTGTAGGGTTATCGTGAAACTTTTGAGTGAAGCTCAATAAATTCAACGACCTGAGGGTATGGAGGTTAAAGGTGACAGGATAACTCTCACCTTAACTACCCCATCGTCAGCATCATTATTACCTTATACCTTAAATATAGCATATACCTTATACCTTATAGCTTCTACTCAAGCTTGATGATTCGCATAATCGTTCTTAAGCTTACGTACTTTACCCCAAGCTTCAAAGTCAACATTACCAAGTTATACTCTTATATATTACATAAATATATATACTACATTATTTATAAATATATATATATATATATATTAGGGTGGGTCAAAAAAATCGATTATTTTTTTTTTAACTTCTCACATTGAAAAGTTCGTTCTCAGACACCTCTAGGAAATGCTCACCAAATTTGAGCTCTTAATATTGATAGGAAGCTTATCCTCATCACAGTTTTACATTTTTTGTTAGTCTCTTATAAAAAAGATCATATCTCACTATTGATTAATTTTTTTATCAAATCTTTATACATGTTT